TAGATAGATAGATAGATCGATAGATAGATATGATGGATAGGATAGATAGGATAGATAGGATAGATAGGATAGATATGATAGATAGGATAGATAGATAGATAGATAGATATGATAGATATGATAGATATGATAGATATGATAGATAGATAGATAGATAGATAGATAGATAGATAGATAGATAGAGGGATAGATAGATAGATAGATAGATAGATAGATAGATAGATAGATAGATAGATCGATAGATCGATAGATCGATAGATAGATAGATAGATAGATAGAGGGAGAAATAGATGGATAGATGGATAGAGGGAGAAATAGATGGATAGATGGATATATGGATAGATGGATAGATGGATAGATGGATAGATGGATAGATGGACAGATGGATAGATGGATAGATGGACAGATGGATGGATAGATAGATAGATAGATAGATATGATAGATAGATAGATAGACAGGTAGACAAGAGTGAGAGAGATCAATCGCCTTTCAGTCCAGCAGTGGCTTCGCTCTGCCATCTCTGATTCACAACAACCAATCTCTCCTATAGTTTTCCTATTTTTGAAACTTCCGCCACCGCCTTGTGCGGTACTACTGGTATATCATGTACGATTTTTGAGACTACTGCAACGCAGTCCGTCGCAACGTTCTTGCTACGACATTGTTCATCGCGGTTGTTAGGGTGAACGAAACAAAGTTCTTGAGCAATCTGACATTGTCGAGTTTCAGTGCGGGTCTTGACTTCGGTTGGGGTGGGGATGTATGTAAACGTGGTGGATGAAAGTGCATGTGCGGCTGTTGGCGTTTCCTTGTAGTCCGCCTATGTTGCAAACCCGGCTTTAGAGGCGGACCTGGGGGGAATCGAAGGGTGGGGGGGGGGCCCCCCCCCCTTGAAAGGCGGACCGAGACATAACCGGCCCAAACTCTTGCACTTGCACCGCTCGCCCCCTAATACTTGCTACGCAAGGGGGAACTCAGGTAGCTCACCGCTACCTTTCGAGAAAACAAGCAACCACTCTCCAGGCACCAAGTCTTCAATGCGATTTGTGATCTTGCTCTTGCGAATATAACTCCTTAGGCAAAAGCAAGAAACAGTACTTGAGCTTGTCGACTTCATGACCGTTCACAGTTTTTGGAGCATATAACTAGTCAAAGCCCGAATGATCCTCGTGACATGAAATCCCTTCAGATCTCTAGCAGCCAAACTGGATCCAGCACAAGTTTCGCCAAATATTCTTTCGCTTTCGCTTCTGCTGCCCACTCATAGCCAATCTCGCCAAAGCCCTGAGCGCCATCAGATCACCATTCCTCTGTGCTGGGACCCTGTCATGAGATTGCGCTATATATGAATCTATCATTCTTGATACGCAAATGACATGGATCCCCAAAACTGATATGGCACGATATCGCAGCACCCTGATATCTCAAGCCTCTTCTTTTTCCGGTATGCTGAATTTGGTGAAGTAACCTCAACTTGAAGCACTGAACCCGGCTTCGGCCATGGATATCGCGGCTTCAAAGTGAAAACTGAATCTCCCCAAAGTCATCCAAAATCCATCCCCAAAACAACGAGTCATAACTGCCACAACTTGGCCATAACATGTCATCTTTGTCATGACATGTCATGACATGTCATGACTGTACGTTCCGAAGATTTTTGAAAGCCTCCCATGGAGCCATGGAGTCATTCGATGTCATTCGTGCAGATCGTGCAGTGCGGCGAGTGGCTTCCCAGAGTCCAGCTGGTGAGATCAGCTGTGCTTTTTTTCCGGAAGCAGGTAGCCTGCTCCAGCTGATCGCAGGACCAAACATCGGGCCAAGCACTGTTAAGAGGCAACTGTACTATGGGACTAGGGGGGGCTACGGGAAAGACACGTACCAAGACTATCATGCCCAGTCTTCACGAGCTAAGACTCCCAAATCTCCCAAGCTTCAGAATTTCTGTACGTAGCTGTTGTATGCTGCTGTCATCAACACCATCTAGAGCCATGGATAAATCATCTCAGATCATCTCAGCGTCTCGGCCTTGTCTTCCGCAGTCAACTCAACCTGTGGGCACGGCTCCTCTGGCTCTTCGGGCTCCTCCTTCACTTCCTGTTGAAATGCCACACACCACACCCAAACGCACTGCGATGCACTGCGACACCAGAATGAGGCACTGCAAGGCGAAAAGGCACCCGGGGATTCCCGGGGCGGCACAGCACAAATGTCGTCTCTCAAAAGCACAATGAGTGACTCGAGTTGAGTTCAAGGTTTCTGTCATTTCTGAATCATTCTGTATCATTCTGTATCTCATCTCCTCTTTGACCTCTGGCATTGGTTCATCTTTCACTTCTGCCTTTGCTTCTTCTTTGACTTCGGCCTTTTCCTCCTTCACTTCAGGCTTCCTCAGTGCGTCCAAAGCCTCCAAAAGCCTGCTACGATGAAGTGACACTTTAAGGAACAAATGGCGGGTATTTCTGGGATGTCCAATTGGAGAAACCTAACCATCTAGTCATAAGGGGATCATTTCTCCCTGCTACCAAGTATCGCTTGCGATTCCTCCATCTTCACATCTGGCTTTGCCTCCTGCTGATGATTGGCTTTGTGCAAAACGCTTCTAGTGAATGGTTCGCTTCATATCATAAATTTTGGATGTCAATGGTGGTCAAGCTGGACGAGATCTGTCCTGCCCATCAGTCTTCGCTTCTGCCTGCCATATTTGAAAGCGCCAGACAAAATGCCACTTGCGAGTCACTTGTCAGCTGTCAATGGCACAACTAAATGAGCACTTTGAAGCACCTACTTGGCTTCATCATGCAAACAAAAAACGACACTGCGACTGCAATAAGTCTTCCCCTTCTTTGCGGACCTATCTCAAGCAAAGCAGTGGCTTTCTCTGGCTAAGGCTTACCATGTCGCCAGCACACATCCTGTGCTGGTCTTCCCTCCTTTCCTTTTCTGATTTTGCTATTTCGGGGTGATGATCTGTTTTGAAGCCTTTCCTCCTTCCGCATATGCTGATACTGTGAAACGGATCAACTACTGAGTAGAAGTTTAAACATGTTTCAAGTAGATGATGCAAATGTAAGACTTCAAAAATGCATGGCGGCACGGCATGGTATGTCCCTTACATCCAATATTCAGCTGAACCCTGCCTGACCATCTGCTGCAGCTGCTGCATCTGCTGCTTCCTTTTCAGCTGCCGCTGCCGCAGCGGCCTCTGCAGCAGCCGCCTCTGCAGCTTGACGCTCTAGCTCCTGTGCAGCACATGCAGCACGTATCAGCACGTGCGCAGCGATCCAACAGCAGAAGGGTTTGAAGTTTAGGCGAAACATCCGGAGGAGCTTTCAGGATCCAAAGTTGTCACCAAAATCCATCACGAATCACCATAGATCCTCCAGCTTCCTCTTTGCCTCCTCTTCCGCTCTTTTCTTGGCCTGCGGTTGGATACAAACTGCCGTTTTTGCTGTGTTTCTTGCATCGGCCCCAATTTCCTTTCGTTGCTCTCGGACATGACTCCTGGATTGCCTCTTATTGGAGGCCCTCGGTATAGCCAGATCACTCTCTCTGTATTCTATATCTAGTATCATCTAGTTGTGAGATGAAGGCTGCTTTGGGAAAGCACTGTCGCTGTGCTATGACTCTTTCAAAGCAGCCAAATTATAGCCATGATTTCTACACACCCAGCCTCTTCCAGTTCACGGGCTCGTTTGCGTTGGAGACGCTCCTGCAAAGAAGTTTCGAGCAAAGACTCCACCAAGCAGTTTGCCATGAAGTCTGCTCGGAGCAAGAGCCAGAACCAGCAAGAGCTGCTAAGTCTGCATGAGGTACAGAGAGGCAAAGTGAGTCAAGGAGTCACTCTGAGTCCGAGTCAAAGTGAGCCGTCCTGCTCTTTCTCCACCTTTCTCCTTTTCCACTCCTGCGTTGCCTTCTCCTGCTTCTCTGTCAGGAGCGCCTTGTGCACCTCCGGACCAATAATAACCGAGACAACTTGCAGATATACACATATTTATACAATCATATATAGACATATATACCAGACTATACATACATACATATACATGACCTTATATAGCATTATATACAACATTGCAAAACAACAAGAGATCTGCCTGAAAGGATCTGATATATAGATCCTTTCTGATGTCTTCTGGCACCCGGCCTTCTCTTTGAAAGCGGACGGAGGCTCTCCCATGACCACCTCAGGGTTCGTGGTGGCCAAATCTGTCCAGAAACATCCTACAGCACACATGGATTCCATCGTGGATGGCCTTTGCTACTGTCTTGAAATAGTTCTCGGTGAATCTTTTCAGGAGTTGACTTCGCTCCTCATGCAATGACATCGACGACACTCAGCGTTGAAATGATTTTTGCCCTGCGGGACTTCTGACCCAACAAGACAACTGAAGATGTGCGACTGTAATGGACTGTATGGCCCTGAAATCGTCGCCCATCCTCCTTTACTAAGTTTGACTTCACCTCCATCACCTTGGATCAAGACAATTGCTCACACTGATCACCAAGGCAGTCCGCACCACCACAAGATCTGCACTTGTTGGGACTGCATGGGTCTGCCTTGTTTGGGCCTTGGAATCATGCCTTTGATATCCTTCAATGATATACGAGACTTTGGAATGAAATATAATGAAACAATATCATGCAGCATCATGCAGCGTCACCACGGACGACCTAGGATACCTAGGTCACAGACCACATAATGCCGCGGCTGCGTTGGTGCCACTGCCTGGATGACTCGACGAGCACTAAAGTCATCCAGCAGCGGAATGCGGAACCTGGCAGTCACGTGCTGTCGTATGCAGTCACAAAGTAAGGCTCTCTGCGGCGTAAACACTGCATAAGACATCATAAGTCGGTAGTTTCCAAGGCAATCGATCAAGATCACAGAAAAGGGTGATGACATCTCCGGCCACAATTAATGCAGCATGATGCAGCTATAGGCTAGACATGTATAGAAATGTATCTAATATTATCTAATCACTGTCGCCAATCTCAGGTCTCAGGCGAGCCACTGCGGATCAGGTTTGTCATTGCAATTTTTCCAAGAGTTCTGCTCGCTATGGGAGATGCCGCTCTTCTCTGCCCATTTGATAATGGCACGGTCAGACAGCCTTGGAAATGTTCTCAAAACAGATCCACTTCAGAGTCTCATCGCCAATTGTTTATTTGTTTGGCTCCGAGGTGAAACCTGTTATAAACCTGTTTAAACTGGAAGCTTGCCGAAAGAATAGCAGAATCTGAGTCCAAGGAGCTCGACGTACTGGGGATTCTTTTCCAAAAACTCGTCCAGCCAGTCAAAGGTGCCCTCGTCTGGAACAGCTACAGGGAAGATAACCTCATACTTTCCGTCCTGGCAAACTGCTGCAGAAAACATTGGTCATGCTCCGTGCATCTCTGTGCTGTTTCCACGCGTATGACTTTGGCAAAATCTGCAAAATCAATTCACGATGTTTGACTTGATTCACTGACCAGACTGACTTGACTCCCAATCAGCTCCCAATCAGCTCCTTTGGAGGAGGTGGACCCACCTGTCCATCCGAAGTGGGCACTTCCGCTACAGTCAGACATTTGAATGGCAGTGGCCTTCAGCGAGGAAAGCTCAAAGGTGTGTCTCCAAAAAAAGTAGCCAGAAGATCCAACAATTCAAAAGATGTTCCAAAGTGAAGAAGGTTGGCTAGGACACAGCTGACTGGCTCGAATGAACATGAATGTGCACAGAATGAGCTAGGTTGCAAAACGGCATGACAAGACTCCACAGGTCTAGGCTGGATCTTCAAACGGATCCTATCACGAGAACTCTGAAATGGGACACGGAATCGTGCAAGACGTGCCAAGCAGCGCAAGCGGCGATCCAAAGTTTACATGCAGTGTGGTGTTCTTGAAGCTGACATGAGGAAAGAGTGGCTTGCCCACCAAGTTTTGTGGGAGCTTTTGCGGTTGCGATGCTCGAACGCCATCCTGATTCGACAAAGTGCCAAAGAAGATTCAAAGATTTCAAAGGCGTGGGGCCTCTTGGAGCCGTAGGAGGCATTTTGAGACAGAATTTGGGATGAATTCTGTTGGGACTTTTTGAGTCACCAAGTCTTGTTGGATTGAACCAACCCTGCTTGTCTTGAAATGGTAGGTGCACACACCTATTGCGGCTTGACAACGAGGCAAAAATTATTCTCCCAACTCCCAACTATGACCTATCAGCTGATCAAGCATCCATAAATCGGACTCGGCCTTTAGGGTCGGGGGGTGAGACATGCTCTCAATTGAATCTATGTTCAATAGGCAGAGGTGGGCGATGCATACGATAAACACTGCGATCCTTCAACCTATCCAAGTTCAATCAGGACTGAACGGCCGCTGAGTGTCCTTGAACAGGCTGACCTTGGCTGGCTGAACCCAAATGATAGGCAGGAATTGTCGATTCCAGACCGGCATTTCACTCCAAAGGGAAAGAACATGCAATAGCTGCAAACGGGCGGTGGTGCTGATCATGAACAGCTCCAAACGCAAACTAGATAAAACGAAGACAAATCAAAGGGTGGCGTTGGCAACGCTTCCTATATGTTACTATCACATACTAAAGCCTTCAAAGAACTTCACAGCTTCAGATTTGGCCAAAGCGGCTGTGTTGGCGTTGGGGCTAGAAGCGTCCAGGTTCAGCAGCACAGCCACGGTGCTATCTCTCTGAAATCTCTGCGACATGCTTTCACCTCTGCTGAGATCTCGCCAAAATGAATATAGTGTCACAACATGTCACAACCCCAGTGTCATCTTTCAGTACAATACAAATATTTGCCCAACGAGCACACTTTAAAATGTCTGCCCAAGCAACGTTTTTGATCTGCACCATAAAAACCGTCATTGTCGAAGTACACACAATCACTGGTTTCTCCAAGTAGGAGCGAGGAGCCCTGGCCACTGAAGGAAAGAGATACACAGAGTACGGTCTAATTGCGAAAAACCATGGATGCTTAATTGCTAGATATTGCTAGAGAAAGCTCTGAATTGCGAAAGAAAACTCTGAATTGCGAAAGAAAAGGGGTGACTTTAATCAATTGAAAGAGAAAAAACATCCTTCTTCTTGCAGAAATTTGCAAATGACGTAATCCTTTCTGGGTGCTTTGGACAGAGGATCATTGAGGTCCTGCTCAAACACGCCTACGTCTGAGGCAAAACCAGGAAACTTCCGTAACTCCAAGCGGTCTATCCAACAAATAACGGGAAAACGGCTATAGGTCATGACCAGATATGACTGGGAAATGGGCTTAGGTGATGACCGGATGACTTATAAAACCCTTTTATCCCTTTTCAATTAATAATATGAGCCCTTCTTTCTGCCAGGCAATGCACGCAGAAAGTCAAATAGAACGCAACTGCACTGACTGCCGCAATGCTTCTATGGCAGAACAATTGTGGATGCAATGTTGTCAAATGTGCACTTCAAGGATCGAATTGGTTTGGAACATTGTGCGCTTCATAGCGTTGGGAATGAAATGTTTGAAAATTTGACAAGCCAAACCAACGCTCTTGGACTTCTTAAGCAAACTATTGGAGCTAAGCGGGAAAAGTGCCGGCAGAGGAAAAATATCGTGTGCAAGATGTGTAGAGTTGGTTTTCAAATCATATTGCTTGCATATATGTTGTTACTGCGTTGTTTTTCGCAAATAAGCAACCTTTCTTTCAAAATTAATGATTTGAATTGAGTTGAGGGTTTTCACTATTAGATACGTCTTTCGCAATTAGAAACTCGGTTTCGCAATTAAACCGTGCGCTAAGATTTTCGAACAGCCAACAGCTGCTGCAGGTCGCCCACATCCCGACAAGGTGACCTTTTTCCACTTTTTCCCACTTCCACCTACTTCCATCCACTTCCCCAATCATTCCAGACCTGCAAGGAGAAGCCTACCCGAACCAGATTTCTGGCAACAGATGTGCGGAAGCTGCGCTGTGGTCCTAGGCAAACAGGTTTGCTTTGGGGGGAGGAAACCATTGAGAAGCAGAGCGATCAGAGCGGCACAGCATAGCTTAACCAATCGATGGTTTCCTTCAACATTGGTGGAAAAACAAAACCAACCAACATTATTCGACCATATAGAGCTATCCATCCTATTGCTGTTGCACAGTTTTGCACAGCCTCTCTGGCACCACACTAGGGCCCCAACCTTCAGAGGGGTTGTGTGCCTCAACTACTTTGACTTCGTAGAGATATCTGCCTTTCTTGATGCCCAAATTTGCTCTGGCGCCTGCCGTGTGGCCGCACGGAAACCCTTCACAGTCACAGCCTCCAAGCGTCCAAGAATGACAACTGCTTGCATGCATCTATATATATATGTATATGTATATGTGGACATGTGTGTGTATATGTGTATGTGTATGTGTGTGTGTGCGTATATGTATATGTATATGTATATGTACAGGTATATGTAAATGTATGTGTATATGTACATGTAAAAATATGTGTGTGTATGCGTACAGGTATGCGTATGCGTATGCATATGCGTATGCGTGCGCGGATAAATATGAATATGGATATGTAATGTATATAGTGTATATTATCTATATTAAATATATTATGTATATTATGTATATTATGTATGCTATGTATACTATGTATACAAAGTATATTATGTATATTATGTATATTTTGCGTTTCATGTGTATTGTGTATATTATGTGTACTAGGTACATTGTGTATATTATGTATATTAAGTGTATATGTATATCATGTATATTATATTATCTATAGTATGTTTATTATGTATATTATGTACATTATGCGTGTTATACATATTATGTTTGATATGTATATTATGTATATTGTGTATATCTTGTATATTATGTACACTATGTATATTATGTATATCCTATTTATTATGTACATTATGTAAATGAATATGGATATGTAATGTATCCTATGTGTATTATATATAATGTTTATTGTATATTATGTATATTATGTATATTATGTATATTATGTATATTATGTATATTATGTATATTATGTATATTATGTATATTATGTATATTATGTATATTATGTATATTTTGCGTTTCATGTATCTTGTGTATATTATGTGTACTATGTACATTGTGTATATTAGGTATATTAAGTATATATGCATATCATGTATATAATCTATAGTATGTATATTATGTATATTATGTACATTATGTGTATTATACATATTATGTTTGATATGTATATTATGTATATTATGTATATCTTGTATATTATGTACACTATGTATATTATGTATATCCTATTTATTATGTACATTATGTAAATGAATATGGATATGTAATGTATATTATGTGTATTATATAATGTATATTCTGTATATTATGTATATTATGTATATTATGTATATTATGTATATTATGTATATTATTTATATTATGCATATCATGTATATTGTGTATATTATGTGTACTATGTATATTATGTGTACTATGTATATTATGTGTACTATGTATATTATGTACATTATGTATATTATTTATATCGGTGTGCATGGGGTGTGTGTGATCATACATATATACATAACTTTGCATATTATGAAATGCATGTGTTGTATTGTATTGTGTATAAGAGCATTCCTCCCACCTCCAATGAGGTACTGCATGCCACCATCAGTTAGGGGCATCAGCACTCGACCACCCAAAGATGGGATCACGTTCAAGGTGCAGTCGGACCTGACGACTTCCACAGCTAGTCAAAACTAGACCCCTGGTGCGCCAAGCTCCCCTACCAGCATGATTGAACACCAGCACCATGCTGCAAGTCATCGCCACAACCAACCCTGGGCTCGGATTTTTCTTCAGGAACATATGAAGCACCTTTATCAAAACTCTTTACACTTTATCATGTTGAAACATGGCCGTGCGAGAAATTTCCGGCTGAAGATCCGGCAGAGACTGGCTATCTCCAAGATCTCCTAGCTGCCCTAGCTGCCCGAGCTGCACTAGCTGCAACGGCTTCGAGGCCGAGATGCGTCTGGAAACCCACGTCCGCCCGCAGCGGTTTGGCGCTGCTGGGTTTCGCGTCCTTCTCGAGCTCCGGCCTAAGTCGAAAATGCACATCCAAATGCACATCTGCAAGGCATGCTACGAGCAATACATACTATTACACATGTATGCATGCATGTATACATCTATGTATGTATTGTGTGTTGCGTGCATGCATGCATGCATGCATGCATGCATGCATGTATGTATGTATGCATGTTTGTATGTATGTGTGCATGCATGCATGCATCTATGCATGTATGCATGTTTGTAAAACAGAAACAGTTTATGTATGTATGCAAGTACATCATGTGCAACAATTAAAAACAGCTATTTGCTCTATGTGTTTCAACATGTAAGCCTGGATGGCCTGCAGCTCTGCAGCATTTTTCATTGTTTTTCTTCCATTTCCTTCCTGCATCCGAGCTTCGGAGTCGCATCTTCTTTCGTTTCCTCTGTCTTTTGTTTCTTTGCCTCGCAGGATACAACTTCAAACTCTGTGCCCAAACATGCCACTAGGTAAACATCTAAATCTTTGTAGATGTGCGTACTCATATATCTGTAGTTTGCATCATCCGCCGGCCTGCTGGCGTGTCTGATTGGAAGGTGTTGTTCCTGTTTCTGTTCTTGGCTTGTACTTGTTCCTTCTTCTCTTGCTACGTGTTTTGCTTGGTCTGAATCGTGTCCACCCCCTCTGACACTGCTGCTACTATGACAATGACTGCTACTGTGACTGCTACTACTGCTACTACTGCTACTACTCTACTGTACTGCTACTGTGACTGCTACTACTGCTACTACTCTACTCTACTACTGCTACTACTCAACTACTCTACTGTACTACTACTGCTACTGCTACTGCTACTTCTGCTACTACTGCTACTACTGCTCCTACTGTTACTACTACTACTGCTACTACTTGCTACTACTGCTACTACTGCTACTACTGCCGCTACTACTACCGCTACTACTGCTACTACTCTACCGTACTACTACTGCTGCTGCTGCTGCTACTACTACTACTACCACCACTACCACTACTACCACTACTACCACTACTACCACTACTACCACTACTACTACTACTACTACCACCACCACCACCACCACCACTACTACCACTACTACCACTACTACCACTACTACCACTACTACCACTACTACCACTACTACCACTACTACCACTACCACTACCACTACCACTACCACTACCACTACCACCACTACCACTACCACTACCACTACCACTACCACTACCACTACCACTACCACTACCACTACCACTACCACTACTACTACTACTACGACTACTACTACGACTACTACTACTACTACTACTCCCACTCCAACTCCTACTCCTACTCCTAGTCCTAGTCCTACTCCTACTCCTACTCCTACCACCACCACCACTACTACTACTACCACCTACCACTACTACTACTACTACTACTACTACTTACTCCTCTACTACTACTACTACTACTACTACCACTACCACCACCACTACTACCACTACTACTACTACTACTGCTACTACTACTACTACTACGACGACTACCACCACCTACTACTACTACTTCTACTACTACTGCTACTGCTACTGCTACTGCTACTACTACTACTACTACTATGATGCATATTACCACTACCACGACCACTACCCACTACTACCACAACAACCACCACCACCACTGCCACTACCACTACCACACCACCACCTCTCCCTTCTACTCCCACTCCTACTCCCACCCCCACGCCCACTCCCACTCCTACTCATACTCCCACTCCTTCCTTCTTCCCGAAATACTAAACCAGTAGTGCCAGTAGCTAGCGAAACTGTCTACAGCACTACAGTCGTCTACCGGTACTAGTCACAGGACATACACGGTACTAAACTGATCGACCAGTGCTCATTTGGTATGCGGCCAATGGGTTGTTGAAGCAAGCACTTGCTAGCCAAGCTGAAAGTCAAGCTGCTTCTGATCTACGGCTCTATCTTCGTCTCTTCTTCTTCTTCCTCCTCTTCCTCCTCTTCTTCTCTTATCTTCTGCTTCTCTCTCCAGATTCCACTTAGCGTAAGCATCAACCTCCGTTTGGGCAACCTCTGCCTCTGTCCGCTTCAACCCTGTCCGCTTCCATGCAGTGGTCTGCCGTCAAGCTGGACTCTCATAAATAGTACCTGGCGCTACTTTGCTGGGGTCGGTACTAATTTGCTAGATTGCCGTTCTTCTTCTTTTTTCTTCTTCTTCTTCTTCTTCTTCTACTTCTTCCTCCTCTTCCTCTTCCTCTTCTCTTCTGGTTCTCTCTCCGGCTTCCACCTGGGGTGCACATCAAACTCCCTTGCGGCCACCTATCTATGGCCCGGCGGGCTTGCCGCAGGCCATTAAAATCCATTAAATATGTTTCAAGATGTTTCACTTGCAGGGCATACCTGACATCACGTGTCCTGCCTCAGGCTCTGCCATTGCTAGGAGGAAAATATGATGCGGTTCTTGGGCCACAAAGGCTATGGTTCAATCAGCCATGTTCAACCCAAAGTGGCTGCCCAGCGTCAAAGACAAACCTGCAACATCTTAGGACTCTTCAACCAAGTTTGATATGAGAAAATCGCACCATTGGGACCATTAAATTCGATAAAGCAAGATAAAGCATGATTAAGCATGATCGGATAATAAAGCATGATAAAGCTACAGTACGTAGTAATGCCTGGAAAGCTTTGTGAACACATGTTCTGTATGCACTACAGCCCTGTGGCAGGTAGCGTCCCGTAGCTGAGGTCTCAGCTTGTCTTTGCTGGCGCCGTGGAAAAGTAGTGACAGCAACACGAAATGTTGAGTCAGTGCCGTGAACGTGTCACCCATACTGTGTCCAGCTTGGGCCAAGACATCTGATCAGCAATCAGGTTTCTTCAACGTGTTGGGACGTGGCAGGAAAGTCAAAGCTGAGTGAGGATACTGCAGCAAATCCTTATAAAATCTTATAACATCTTATAAAATCTTATAAATATGCAGACTGTGCTTTGTGGTGGTAGGCACCGGCATAGAGCTGCAGGCTGCATCCGGCTGCACCTGACTCAAAAGAGGTTTCAACTGTCCCAGAAATGGCCCACCTATACGTATACTATATATATATAGTATACTGTGTATATATATATATATGCACAGATGGATATAGAATGTCCCAGTTAATGTCACTGTGTTTGGGTCACGTCGTCCAGGAGTCTCTCAATGTGTTGGAGCACGCATGAGCATGCGTGACGCTTTCTTGCACCAACTGGGAAAAAAAGCAGTCTTCAGACTCTTCAGACTCTGTACCAAGTCATCAGGAACATCACTTCGAACTTCTCGAGTCTTCCCTGCAGCACTGAACGTCAAACGATGCCGGTGAAGCCAATGACGCATAGTGATGGCCCTGTCTGACCAAAAGGTGTCGTAACTTGCGTATGTGCCATCCCCAACCACCGGAAAACCAACATGTGCTAAGTGACTCCTGATTTGATGCTTCCGTCCTGTGGCGATCTGCACCTCCAGCTGACTGAAACTTCGGCAAGCCGAGTCAAAGGCATATCCGGTTGTGCAAAGATGTGTCCGAGCTGTCCGTCCTTGGCCGCCAGCGTACGTGGGGCTGTCCCCATGCCAAACAACACACGCAACAATTGCTGTTCGCGAGGATGGGATCATCCCATGACTCAAGACACAATAATCTCTGCAGATCTTCCCTGCATGCAGCTGTACTTGAAGATCATAGTGGGCTTCATATGTCATGGATAGCAGGATCAATCCAGAGCTCGGCACGTCCAAACGATGCAGAAAACCACAAAAGTGCGAGTGGTCGAAGAAAATTGGTGCAGAACCTAACTTGTCTTTGACAAAGCCCAAAAGTTGTCGCTCAGTATGTCCTCCATAGACCTCCCAATCAGGTGGTTTTAACAAAACAGCACAATCGGTCAGCGCCATAGAAATTGCTGGTGCCGATGGCGTCGGCAATTGTGCCTCGAGTTGTGGCATTGGGGCGCCCAACCAGCGATTGCCGGGTCGGGCTTTGGAGATTCCAAGTTGGTCCAGCATACGTCCAGTTTGGGAAAGAGTCTGCTGCACAGATCTTAGGAAGCGGTCACCAAGGCAGTTGGCAAGTTGGCAGCTAAAAACAATGCCAAGCACATGCATGCCTAAATTCGTTAGCATGAAGCTATCTGTAGAAAGTTGCTTGAAAATAACCTCTACCCTCTTCTGTGCCAACAGAGCAACTGAAGGCAGGGAGCTTGTTACACAGCCAACAGCGACTGTGACGAGCTCATCCAGTTCGAAGTCGTCAATTTGACTCACCGTCTGGTTTGTCAAAAGTGAATCCAACTGACGGTTCTGCACACCAAGCATTGCAGTTGACCACCACAAGCAACTCAGCTCATTGGCTGAAAAAGGCTGAAGTGACACCGAGTTTCCGCATGAGTCTAAGCTGCCTCGCGATGATGTTACGCTCGAGACTTTATTTCTGAAGTCGACCAATGCTTGAACACAAGCCGTGCGAATTACTTCCGATTCAGAACAGCTGAGCAAAGCTAAGCCCCACAAATACTCTAACGCAGACCTCTCAGCAGCAGAGCTAACTAAAAGTTGCCAAACATCTTCTTGCCGTCCTTGATCACTGCAAGCTTGCATGATGACATCATGTACCACCATGCTTGGCTGCATGGCCTCCGCCCTCATTTGGTCCAGAACCTGGAAAGCTGTTGGCCATGGGCAGCCTCTCAGCAACGCGTTGTACATCGCGGGATCTCTTTGAACTCTTAAGAGTTGAGACCCTACCAGCAGACTCAAAGCTTGCCGCCAATGCTTGGCCTTGGCACATGTTTGAATTGCAGAGCCAAATGTCACGACATTGGCTTCGAGCCGTTGGACATGCAAAAAGGCCACCAAATGCACTGCTTCCTGCCACCTTTTGTCACAGGCAGCAATGATGGAGTTGCAAGTGATCGTGTCAGGGTAGAACCTAAAACAAAGCTCGGAAAACATCTCCAACGCCTGAATCCACTGGGTTGTTTGCTTGCCCGCACTGATTGCAGCGTTGTACGTGATGACATTTGGTTGGTGGTATTGTGCCCTAGTTGCAAGAATAGCGAAGGTTGCTTGCCATTTCATTCCCTTCTCGCAAGCACTAGAAGCAGCATTGTAGCAAACAATGCTGCGCTGGAGACTTTCCACCCCGGCAGACTCCAACAAACTGACAGCTGTTTGCCAGAAAGACCTCTTTTCACATGCGCTGACTGCGGCACTGCAAGCAACACTGCTTCCCAAGTCTTGTCGAATACTTGAGCCAAAAAGCCAACTGGCTGCTGCCCAATGCCCACATGCGGCCGCCGCTCCATAGGACACCACGTTTGGCTGAAAGCTTCTATGCGGCATTGAGACCAGTGCATTGAGAGCCCTTGACCACGAACGACTAGACCACGTGCTGATGGCCGTATTTAAGACCACCACATCTGCAGAACACTTGGCCCAGTCAGAAAACGCCAAAGATTGCTGCCATCGATCTTCAATGCAGCTACCAATGGCTGCACTACAGGTAATTACCTCAGATTGCTTCGCAAAACATCTGCCGACATTGCAACCCAGCTTGCTGTGGTTAATCCACTCTTGTCACATGGTCTCACTTGGCACCTTGAAAAAGGCTAGAAAATCAATAGTGAGTCGGTTCTACACTTTGGGGACAGTGAGCCTAGCGTAAAATTCACACACTGCAGCCTGTGTGGACATCTGCTCGCAGACCCAAACCCTGCACATTCAATCGCTTAGAATGCTGCATCAGTAGGCTGTCCGAACGTGACAAGTGAAGTCTGATATGATATACCGTATCAAGCTATGTGTTGAGCATACAGGTCTAGTGATCAAGCCTTGGTCACCTCAGTCTATACGATTCTGTATCGTCCCAGTGACTTACGATTCCCGTATAGCATGGGCTATTTCCTCGAGAAGTTTGTGACCTGGTTTATTGATGACGGGCTGCATTCGGAGTAACGGAGTCCGTCAAGAGGTCAGCTACCAGCAAAATTCCAACCTCCCAGTGCAAAGCACTGTTGCAAGCTTTGATGGCCATTGTGTAGCTCACGTCCGTACTTACTTGGTCTCGGTGGAGGTGACTTAATAAGCGAATTGCATGTTCCCAGGCTTGCCCCTTTGCACATGCAACGAACACCCAGTTCAAGAGTTGTTCGCTAACGACGCTCGAAGCATATCGATCCAAACTATTCAATGTTGCCAGTGCTTCTTGCCACCACCTCTGTTTGCAGAAGTCTTTCAGTATCTTGACAGATACCGATGCCGTCCGGGCAGCTCTTCTTCTAGCTGCTGCCCGAGGCACTTTTCTCTCACTCTCTTTGAATAGCTCTGCAGGCGCTCTGGCCATGCATTGGCCTTTCACAGTCTCATCAATGCAGCATGCTGATAAATTGCAAATCGATACGATGCATCATGCATTTAATGAATTTTGGTGAGCCAGTGGCTGCAGGATCATGCAGGTGTCCCGTTCTGAAGATTTGGAAGGTTGCGACGGGCACAAATGCAGAAAGCACAAGGGGATACACAAGAAATCGAATCATTGCAGAGACCAAGACCAATCTTAGATTGGGTCACATTGGTTGAGGTCTGAGCCTCAGGCCTCGCTCTCCCGCTCCTCCAGGGTCAAGGCTTTGTCGGCTTTGTCGGCTTTGTCAGGATGGATATGATGGCTTTATGATGCTTTATGGATGGCTGAACCACATTGGACATCTGAGGAGGTCAACAAGTTTCACAGCCAGGGCACAGGTAAAGCGACTGCGGCCATGCCAGGTGCCACCCGCCCTAAAGTGTGAGGAGAAAATGAGGAAAATGTTTGACTTCATGAGGGATGGCAATGCTAGTAGAGAGAACACAATCCGAAGCATACATTAGAGACAGTACAGTTAATGTACAGTACATACATTGAAAAAACGTGCAAAAAAATGTGCTATAAAGTACAGTGCATTATGGCGCATTATAGAACTGCAAGTTGGAAGCAACAACAAGATCGAAAGATCGAGGTCACATGGTGCGAACGCTGGCCCATGTTGAGTCTGCGACACCATAGCCGCTCGCGTCAAGGCCCTAGGCATGGCTAGACCGGCCTTGGCGCAAGAGCATCAAACAGCACAGGTGCCACGGCTCCAATTCGAGACGAATAGATCATTACGTTTCGCACTGGGAGCTATGTTGAATTATCTTGAGTTCATCTAGTGTCAGTTCACAAGGCTACGCATTTTGCGGTCCAGTGGCTCTAGTCTAGAGTCTAAAGGGATGCGCCATGGCTGCTGTAATGGCTGTCAAGAGCATCGGGCAGGTTTCTCAAAGAGAAAGGCGGCTTGCCCCTTCAGTTGCAAACACAAGTCAATCAAATGGCAATCAAAAGCAAGTTGCGAAGTTCAGCCAATGATAAAAAATATCAAACTTTTCTGCTGCGAGTATTTCGCAGAAGCTCCAGCAGTGAAACAAAGGGCCACACGGCCATGGCGAAAGCGATGGGCAGCTTACAGCGTGCTGTGCTTCAATGTGCTGGTGGAAATGGGAACTGCGGTCGCTCCTTGGATCCTTACGATGATAGCTGAGTACAAAAAGCAGCATATCTTTGTGAGCTTTGTGACCCCAAAACGAACCAGGCAGCAGCACCCAACAAACCCTCACTAAAAGTGCCACACGGCCTGTTATGGCCTCACATTGCCACATCCTGAATCTCACCTGACACTGAGTTCAAACGTCTGAAATAGTATGGAATGATTAATGATAACCGAAAAATGAAACGTGGCAAAGGTCTTCAAAAGAAAAACTGTCAAAAAGGGTTTACTTAGAACATCTAAGAACAATGATAAGCTGGTGAAGCACCGTCCCGCGATGTGGGTGCCGATGGATGCGGCTGTGCTTCGGATCACGAGCTGCACCATGCTGCACCTGTGGTATCCTCCATCGACTCTCCAAGTGCTCCATCATCCTCCGGCAAGGCCTCGTGACTCGTGGCTTCATGTTCCAACATGTTCCAACATGACAGCTGAAGCATCGGCAAGCTGGCCATAAGTGCCATAAGTCTAACATGAACAGCATTGGAACAAGGGAACGCGGGCCACATCTCGACATGCTTCGTAGCCCATGCACGCTCAGGCGAACGCAAGCACATGTGGCTTTAATCTCATATCTACAGCACGTGTACATATATAAATGTATGTTTCGATTTGTTTGTGTGAATGTTGAATCTGATTTTGAAAATAAAGACTGTTCCCGCGTGTATCCTTTTGTGTGTGTGGCTCTAGGTTTGAATATAAGATTCCATAAGTCTAACTCTAACCCATCTTTGCATGTATACATGTACCTACCTATCTATCCATCCATGTATCCATCCAGGTCTCCATTCATCCATCTATCTATCGTCCATCTTTCTATGCACCCATCCTTTATCCATCTATACATCTAACCAGCAATCTATATGTGTATGTACACGTGATGTGACCTTGTAATATAGTGTCTTACATTATCTTCTTGCGTCTTATCTAAGTTTTCTCAAATCTTGTGGCGTCGTGTCATCCTGTCAATCTGTCTGAGACTGTCTGACAGTGTATCCTGACAGATCCTATGCTGTCCCGGTTCTACCTTTATCCTATCTATATCATCTATACGCGCTCTTGTCTAGTTGGCTCATGGACATGCACGCGCGCAATGCGCACACGGTGCGACATGTAGGGTTTGGCAGCAAAAGGGTTCTGCCCAGGACGCATTCCAGAAATGACACTGCCTTTTTACAGCACAGAGTTGCCTTGGTTATCCTTGGTCACAGAGTGGTAGACTACGGTAAGCTACATGGTCTATGTGTTGCTAGCGGTTTCCAAAAAGAATATCTGATATCTTTATATATATATATCTCTCTCTCTCTTTTGCACGCGACAGCGTTTCCACAATGCTGATCAAATAAGCCTAGTATTCGTCTGTCAGCTCCCGGGCCGGAAAGTAGAGCTCGTGGAAAATACCACAATTCCTGTCCAAAAACATGACGCCACATACATGTACGAGCGCATGTATTGACACGAATTACGGTAACATAAACAAAATATAAAGAATTTATACAAGTGAAATCAAATGAATTGAATGGATACAATCTGATACAACAATATATACAGTACAATGCATAACAATGCATATCTGATCTGTTTGCCAAGCGGTTTTCAAATGTCAGCGACGCGTTCGACGCGTTCGGCGTGTTCATGTTTGGTCACTGCTGGCTGTGCGCACTTCAGTAGGTCGGCGAGCTCGGAGCTCTTTTGCTCAACGCCTGCAGCGAATACAAAACATAAAGTAAGAAACATTAAAAAAAAACATATAAAAAAACATTTATAATAAAATGTTTGTACTCCCGGCAGTGAGTAGAGCAAATGTCAAAAGAAAATGCTGTCAAAACTTGTGTTGGAAAATGTTGGAAAAGATCATGTTCTCACAGTCCTCATGTCTCATTCCAGCCCCATTCCAGCCCAAACCATGAAACGCCCATGTATGCAAAAGAAAAGCTGTGGCACTGCCGTCTCCTGGGGCAAGGTCTTCAAGCTGCGTTTGAAAGGCGCGTGCGAAATCCTGGCATTGATCATCTCAGGCCAGAAGAGCTGAAAAATGTTCAAAACTATCTACTGATTATCTACTTACTGTAGTAAATATATGTAAATATGACATAAACATTTCACATAAACAAAATCATCATAAGGCATTCTCTGACCCTCCATTGCACTCCGCGCCCTTTGGGTCACTGGTCGCGGCATGTTTTCCCACTGGGTGAAACTATTCTACGTCGCTTTTGGCTACTGGTGAGAGGCACAAGTGATGCTAGGCCTGCTAGGCCATGTTTGATCATACTTTTGTACACCTTTACTTGGGGCTCCCAGAGTGATACCAGCACGTTGCCTTTCTATTGCCTCCCCTGTGAAATCTGTATTCAGGCCCCCCAAACCACATGGATAGCACTGTTGTCTCAGTGATCTCAATGCAAGGTTCAACAGTTTGGCCGTTTGGTCTCACTGTGCCAGATTCTCATCCGAATTCTTAAAAAGAGAAACCGAGAACGCTGTGGCATTGAGATTATACAACTCATTGGTCAAACTGGAATTACCTAACCACCCAAAGAACCCTGTCTCTGAGGTGGAGAATGGTCTGAGCATGAGCCTATGAGCCTCTGCTCACAAGCATCGCTTGACTTGGAGTCCAAGTGCCGTAGCGAGAGCTAGAAATAAGATGATTATCTCTGAATGATTGGCTAAGTGTCTGATTAAATCTGATTAAGGCATATTAAGGCATGTTATTTTATGTGTATGTATATATATATATATATATTTATATATATATGTGTGTGTAGGGGTGGGTGTGTGTGTATGTATGTATGTATGTATGTATGTATGTATGTATGTATGTATGTATGTATGTATGTATGTATGTATGTATGTATGTATGTATGTAACGTATGTATGTATGTATGTATGTATGTAGGTAGGTAGGTAGGTAGGTATGTAATTATCTAAACTCAAGAGTGGTGAACGTTTGACCCCTCCGAAAGCGAACGTGTGCGGTGAACGGTGCGCGCGTGCGGTGCGCGCGTGCGGTGCGCGATATATGCGCGCAGTGACGCATGCAGTGCGCGATACACGCGCGCAATGATAGTCTTAACTCCCCTGCTGGAACATATACGCTGTATACACATCGGCTCTCGGCTTGTTAAAACCCCAGCACTCAATCTCAATGGTGAGTCTCACAGTTTCACAGATAAATTGGAACGGATGAGGCTCAGGTTGTAAGATATCCATGGAGGTTGGACATTCCAAGTTATCAATGTCTACAGATGGTTACGGTTTTTGAACATGTTTGTGAAGTGTTTGTATCTGTGTGCAAGTACGAAAATGTTGTATCTATCAATAAAAAGTTGTAGGTTCGGGTAGCACCATAGATGAAGTTGCAACTTTGTTACGTATGATGTAAGGATTTGAAGAACCTAACGTATGTATCCTATCTATAGGCCATTCAAAACATGTGTGGCACAGCGCTTGGCACAACTGCTGTGCTGAAATTATCTAAAGTTATCCAAATTCTACTACAAAACAAACATTTCTGTTGTGACAATGATATTGCTGCAACCAGGGAACCCGAAAGGATTGAAGTTGCACGAAGCGATGGAAGAAAAAGGGCTTGTCCTAGCCGTTCTGAGCGCAGGAATGACTTTCAGTACATTGAAAATTTCCGTTGGCGCGCTATTGTTTGGAAAAAACAATAGGTCTTGTAAATGACAAGGGTCAGAAAAGTTCTGAGCTTTGAAGCCAGAAGTTCTCCGATATGTTCTCGAGCCATGTTTGTAAAAAATGATAATTCTTGGGTTTTCTGACCTGGTCTGACTGATCAGCATGTACATAATCATGCAAAATGAGAAGAATTCGAAAATTCATATTCCTGAAATTAGCTTCTGGTTTTTGAAAGACCTGACAGATGTATTCTTGAAAAGTGAAATTGTCGGAGCAGTTTCTGACTTGACTGAAAACTGCCACTTTCAAAACTGTCTTTTGAACACCACGAAGTTTACAAAAAAGAGCAAGGTCATAATAATTTCAATTTTCTGATGCTGTCTTTAGTGTTTTTTCTCCTTTTCGATTTTTTCAATTAATATGAAGAAGAAATTCAAAAAGCAGAAAACCTGTTTTCTTGGATTTTTTCGTAATTTATCTGAACTTTTTGTGTTTCGTTTTTTGGAAAGGTTGAAAAACCCGAAGCGTGATTCAAAGTTTGCCTTTCTCTTCTGCTTCGTTTCTGTTTTAAACTGCTTCTGCAATGAACGCAGGCAAAAGGCGGAAGAAAATCATTGTTCTAGTTTTTGTCCCTTTTTGCTCTAAAAATGTTGCCTTGTTTGAACATTCTAACAGGTTCAGGAAAAATCCACAAATCATTTTTTTGCTTGTGGATTCAGTATGTATGTCAGAACAAACAAGAAAAAGGTCAGCCCAGCCAATCAGTTTTCCGAACTGTTTTGTTTTTCCTGATTTTCTACCGACGTAAATTGAAGTCAATATTCAGAACATTCAAAGCACAGGGAAATCGGAAAATGAGTTTTCAGTTTTTTTTGCAAAAATTGTTTAATAAAGATTTCTGAGCCTTTTCTGGTATTTGTGCCAATTTCAGTTTGCAATCGCTTCCAATAATCCAAATTCAGAAGGTGCTCTTAGAAAAAAGCTCAGGCATTGAGATCTCAGAACTGTATTGAATCCTTTCGAAAATGTCGAATATTTTCGGAACATACACAAGCATATGCCCTTTCTGTATCAAAATTTGGAAAGCTGAACGCCTCCTCCAAACAATTACTGAACTTTCAATCAAAGAATTGATCTGCACAGGCTTCAGAAAATGTTCCACAAAGATCGGAATTCTTATTTTTTCAAGCGCGCAGTTTGTTAAAATTATGTTTCCTTTGGCATTTTCTCAGCTATGGCCGTACTTTGAAATTTCTGACTTTGCAAAGGTTGAAAACATTGTCAAAAACATTGAAGAGCTAGTCGTGACAAGGTGTGTGTGTATATATATATATATAATTTAGTTAACATTTAGAGCAGGTGAAACGGAGCTGGCAAATGTCAGGGAAAAAACTTCGAAAAAGCTGTTCGAAATCATGTTAGCTTCCCTAGAACTTCCAAAAATCAACGTTACTGCAAAAGTTCCAAAAATCAAAACACACAGCCTCCACAGACAACATCACGGATGAAGGACCTTGCCAAGCCATGATTTTTGCAAATAACACTGTGGAAATGGTTACCTATGATGTTCCAAGGTTGGCACCTTGGTCAGACCGCTTTCATTCCCCTAATTGATCCTAATCAGCTTGGTAGCTAATCTACTGCCTCTAAGGGCAAGCACCTTGCAGATTGCGCCCTCCTTTGGAACTGAAAGAAAATATGGGTTTGTATGTTCAAGAAGAGTATGCGGCAGATACGAAATAATTTTGCTTTTTCACGACACGTAAGCGTGGCGCAGGTGAAGTCGAAAACGTAAAAATCCCACACCTTCCCGTTTGTTCTCACAAGTTGCAAGGAATAATGCGCAAAATACCAACAACTATCAAGCAAGACTCGAGACACCTTCACCAGGCTATGTTTCCCCTGAGCAAAGCCCCTCCACGAAAGAAGGTTTCGGAGCTGATGTTGAAACCCTGCAAAGCCAGAGTTTTGCTTGACTTTGGATGATTTCACCGCTGTAGTAACTGCTTTTGAGTTTGCTATAGTAAGGCGCATCTTGGCTCAAACAGATCCTCACACAGCCGCAAATCTACACCATGCAAACCAAAACCAGCTTCAAATAAAGGGGAACAGAACGACTGCAAGAACAACGGCAAAAGGACCACGCTATGCTTTCCTGGGGGTTTTCGTGTCCCCACAGGTACTTCCTCCACGCCGGCTCGGCACAGACTCTGTGACATCGGGAAGCTGCACGAGAAGCTTCAAACAGTTTTCCAAAAAACGCGGGACATCTGCACGAGATCTCAAATCTGTACAGCGCGAGATGCTCGCAGCAAGCTCAAAGCAAATATCAATCTGCGCAGTTAACTGCACGCAGTGACACTGTGCGCGCGCACTGCGCGCACACACTGCCCGCACGCACTGCACGCGCACACTGCGCGCTCACACTGCGCGCCCGCACTGCGCGCGCAAAATTGCTTCCAAAATCCTGGATTTTGTTGACAAAACCTCTGATTTTGCTAACAAAACGCTCGATTTTGCCACCAAAATTTGCGAACGGTCAGAGCGTACGGTGCGTACGTGCGAGCGTACGGTGCGCGCGTGCGGTCAGCAGTGCCTGTATACGGCGGCGCAAATATAGTTTACTGGACTGAATAATATCTAATACTATACGACACGTCGCGCTCTCTTTGGTCAACCCTTCCAAACTGGAAGTCTTGGGCAAACCTTATAGGAAGGAGATGTATGGCCAACACGCTCACGTAGCCCGGAATGAATTTTGACCGGAATAAATTGGGACCGGGGCATTGCCCCCCTGCAGGCCAGCCGGTACTTTCCAATCTTCGCGCGCGCGGCACCAAGGCCCACGCAATGCCGCAAGATAAAGACACCGCAGGGTTGCAAACAAAGTGGTACACTATCTGTGCGGTTGCGACCCCATCTTTCGGCATCATTTTTATCGTCATGAAGCAGCGGGGGGGTTCAGATAGTATTCGGTTCTTTTCCGCTGCCGCGTATGCATAAGCTGCTGCCGAATTTGACACAACCAAGACTGCTAGTTTTGGCTTGCATATACTGTATAAGTTTGAGAAGATTCTGCTGGAATTCCAACATGATGCCGCAAAATCTTCTGAAGCAGCTGCATTGTTTTTTTGGCAGCTGTTTCGAAGAACCTTTTCATCCTTGAAAGCTTTGATAATGTTTCACGACTAGCTCTTCAATGTTTTTGACAATGTTTTCAACCTTTGCAAAGTCAGAAATTTCAAAGTACGGCCATAGCTGAGAAAATGCTAAAGGAAACATAATTTTAACAAACTGCGCGATTGAAAAAATAAGAATTCCGATCCTTGTGGAACATTTTCTGAAGCCTGTGCAGATCAATTCTTTGATTGAAAGTTCAGTAATTGTTTGGAGGAGGCGTTCAGCTTTCCAAATTTTGATACAAAAAGGGCATATGCACGTGTATGTTCCGTATCCGAAAATTTTGAAAAATTCAAAAAAGTTCTGAGATCCCAATGCCTGAACATTTTTCCTAAAAGCATCTCCTGATTGTGGATTATTGGAAGCGATTGCAAACTGATATTGGCACAAATGCCAGAAAAGGCTCAAAAATCTTTATTTGTAGAAAAATCAAACAAGTTCTGCAAGAAAAAAATCTGAAAACTGAATTGCTGTGAATATTGAATTCAGCTTACGTCGGAAGCGAATCCGGAAAAATCGCAAGACTGAATTTCCGACCTTTTGACAGTTTTAACAAACTTGGTTTTAATAGAAAAAAGTTAGACAAACAAAAAAAATGATTTTTGGATCTTTATCTTGTTGTCTTAAACCTTTTGAAGCTGAACAGCAATTAAAGAAAATCTGGAATCTTAATTTGAATCAGTTCGCTTTTGTGGCTGAACTCTTATTATCCTAAGACCCGTTTTTCAGACAATGAAAAGGAAAAAAGTTTGAATTTCAGTTCTCTGAGCCTTGACAGCTTTACGCTATCTCTGATTGTAAAGCAAAATAAAACAGGAAAAGTTTACAAAGAGAAGCAGAGAGCTCAGAAAGCTAAATTTCTATGACCTTGTTCGTTTTGGCTCAACTTCTCTATATTTCTCTTCATGTTGAAAAGAACGAAAAAGGGACAAAGATCCGGGAAAAAAAATCCAGAAAACTGAGCGTCTGGCTTTTCAATTTTCAAGTTTGTGACATTTTTGGTGTTAGAAAAAACATTCAGAAAAATCAGAAACTGCCCGGTCATTTCTGAAAACCAAAAAAGTTTCAGGAAGGTGATTGTTTTGAACTTGCTGGATTTTTCCCATCTTCTCGTTGTGCATGATGGTGTACATGTCAATCAATCAATAATCTTTGGGAATACAAAGAAATCTCAACTTCTGAAGACCATATTTTGCACGAGAACTTCTGGAATTCGTGTTAAGTTTAAGACTCTTCCGGTTTTTTCCTTTCTATTTCAAAGCGTAGCGCGTCAATCGAACCAACGGCGCGCCAGCCGCAACTTTGAACGCACTTCCTGAAAAGTCATTGTTGCTCTCAAAAAGGCTGCAAACATTTTTTCTTCCTTCGTTTCGCCATGTTCAATCCTTTCGGTTTCTCTTATTTCAACGGTATCCTTTCGGGAATTATTCTCGACCCAACTTTTCTTGTGCCATGAAGCGTGAACAACTTTCAGCATGTTCAGCCCTTTAAAGAGATGACTTAAAGATAAGATACGTAGCGCGAGTGCTTCAAATATTTTCCTGCTATATGCAGATACTTGCAACTTCCTTTACGGTTCTATCTGAAGTTACAACTCAGTTATACAGCACTTTACGGACTTGTAAGCAGCTTGCCTTGCTTGTAAATGCCTTGCGGATATGTTACGCAGTTCATTAAAGCTAGAACTTTGATACTAGAAAATTACAATATCCGTAAACAATTTCTGGCAGGGCACCTCACGACTGAATCTTCCTGCAAGACCATCCCGTGTCCCTTGCATTATTTTTCTGGGCGGCTAGCTTCCCTCGCTTCGTTCAAAATGATCGAAAAAGAAACTCAACGCATGCATTTCTAGGTGTTGGCACAAAAGTATAGAGCTCCGGGTTACTGGAGCAAGCAAAGACCAAGGATGCGCTTGAAAAAAAGTGATGTGGAACGTAATACTTTTAACTCAACATGCTAGGCGTTCTGAAAACCTGGTGGTCAAGAAAATCATTGGTTTTCTTCCTTCGTATTATTTCTCTGCATCGCAGCAGGGAGTTGGCACGGATGAAGCAAAGACTAACTCGCTGGCTTCCTGCAAGACCACACACCTGCCCACTAATTGTCTATACCTGGAACTATTTATCTTGTTTTCCTCAGCTTGCAGCAAGCAATCAAAACAGTACTGCCGGGTTTTCGAACAGAAAAGGTACCTCTCCATACACCTTAAACCCTACGGTTACACGCCGCAACTATACAGCACATGTGCCCCTCGCACCCTACACGTGCTCAGACATACGCACACACCGTATGCACACCCCATGCGTACTGTACACGACTCCTGCGCGCACCGTACGCGCGTACGCGCACACCGCGCGCACCGTACGCGCACACCGCGCGCACCGTACGCACACCCCGCACGCACACCCCGCACGCCCCGTACGCACACCCCGCACGCCCCGTACGCACACCCCGCACGCACACACCGCACGCCCCGTGCGCACCCCTTCTCGTACCAGAACGGTAGGGTACAAGTCAAAACCTTGTTCTCACCATTCTTGGATTTAGCTAAGTATGTAGGTCTGTAGGTCTGTAGGTCTGTAGGTCTGTAGGTCTGTAGGTATGTAGGTATGTAGGTATGTAGGTATGTAGGTATGTAGGTATGTAGGGATGTAGGGATGTAGGCATGTAGGCATGTAGGTCTGTAGGCATGTAGGCATGTAGGCATGTAGGCATGTAGGCATGTAGGCATGTAGGCATGTAGGCATGTAGGCATGTAGGCATGTAGGCATGTAGGCATGTAGGCATGTAGGTCTGTAGGTCTGCAGGTGTGTATGTATGTGTGTATGTATTTATGTATGTATGTATGTATGTATGTATGTAGGTAGGTAGGTAGGTAGGTTTAGGATTTCCTATGATTTCTGTTTTCTGATGATTTCTCATGATTTCATGCGGTTTCTTACGGTTTCTTATGGCTCAAGCCCCAAAATCCAAGAGCTTCACAAGTTGATCTCGCAGACCGTTGCTGAACGGTATGGCGTACTGCCAAGCTCCTGGGCTTTGCCGACATGCCCCAAGGGCTGAGCAAAAGCTGATCATATCAGCCTGAAGATCTTCGTCGCAAAGCTCCTGCAGGAAAAATCGTCAGAGCGTTACATCTGCAGCCTGCCTTGTTTTCAATTGCGAAACTAAACAGAAGGTCAGGTGGAAGGTCAGGCTTTATGCGCAGTCCTGGAACAGAAACACCGCCTGCAACCATTGCCCAGCTTGGTCACAGGCACCCAGCACTGCATTGTATGCGAACAAATTGGCTGGCAATGGGATCTCCTCTCAAACCACTGAGTCCGATTGATAATCGAGCTGGACTGCTGGACAGGAGCATTCCACTGTAAGACTGAAATCTGAAATGACAGGCGAAGTAAATCCAATGACAAACAAATGGGAGTCTCGCACCGAGAGCGAGAGGGCAAGAGAGAGAGAGAGAGTCCGCGTCCTGCATATCTGCCAGCAACTGAAGTGCATGTTGCCAATGTCCGCGGCACGCAGCGATGCCAGATGTGAACACCAGTTTGAGACCTAGGCACTGTTGATCAACCTGATACAATCCCATCTTTGACTCACCATTTGCATCTTCACTTTGTGTTGTCTGTGCTCAGTTTTCAACCCGTGGTGTTTCCAGTGTTCAATCCTTGGACATGCCGAGAGGCTTGAGACACTTGCGTCGGACTTCACTTCATGCAAGAGCTGCAAGGCGATCTGCCACTGCGCAGTGTCTCCACATGCATTGATGGCTGCATTGTGGGCAAGAATATCCTCTCTTGCACAGTGGCCACCACAACATGGAAGAATGTCTCGAAAGGATTGGCCACAAGTGTGCACATGCGCGTGTATTTTCACAAGCCCATCCTTCCCATCCAGTTGTGAAAGCAGGACTAGACCAAACTGCCAGTAGGACGCGGCGCCACAGGCATCTATTGCTGCAGTGAAAGTAACTGCCTGTCAGAGCGTCGGGGTTGAAGTTCGTGACGCATTGAAAGGCATTGATGCACCACAAGTGCCATGCAGAATGGAGGCAAACTGTGAAATGGCAAGTCGTCACAGAATTCAAAGAAACTTCCAGGCCTCTGCTTGATGGCCTTCTTTGTAGAAACGGTCTATGAGTTGAAGTGTTGCTTCCCATTGCCCATCCCTGCAAGCGCTTGCCTTGATTCCCAAACTGTCAAGTGGAATCAAGTGGAACAGAAGTTTTTACTTGGGAATCGTGGGAATCGGAGATTCTGAAACTAATGGATTTCAAGCGGCAGCTTTGTAACCTAAACGGTATCTGCTCATACACAATAAACTATCAAAAAAGCTCAGAAGCCAGAAACCGAACGAGCCAGGAGCCAAAAGCCAAAAGCCAAATGAGCATGCAAAACTGCAGCAAATAGCACGCAAATCAGAGATCAGAAGCCAGAAACCGAACGAGCCAGGAGCCAAAAGCCAAAAGCCAAATGAGCATGCAAAACTGCAGCAAATAGCACGCAAATCAGAGATCAGAAGCCAGAAACCGAACGAGCCAGCCAAAAGCCAAAAGCCAAAAGCCAAAAGCCAAATAGCAAGCAAATCAGAGATCAGAAGCCAGAAACCGAACGAGCCAGGAGCCAAAAGCCAAAAGCCAAAAATGCAAATTGGCTCCAGCAAATAGCACGCAAATCAGAGATTTTGGCTCCAAAATGCAGCAAATACAAGCCAGAAGCCAGAAACCGAAGGAGCCAGAAGCCAAAAGCCAAAAGCCAGAAGCCAAAAAAAAATGCTGAAAAAAATAGCCCTCCAATACAAAGAGTCTTACCCCTGATCCTGGAAACTCACCAGCCATCGTTCTCAACTGACTGCGTGACTCGTGTGACTCAGAAAGGACTCACAGCGCAGCGTGTAAGTGTCTGATTTCAGGGCCAAGCAGCACATGCACCGAAAGTGATGGTGTCAGGAACTTGCTGCTGCACCTGGTTTGCACCAAGCCGCATAGGAGAACTATGTATACCGCATGCTCGTTCAGAGGATTGTGAGACAACGTGAGGCAAATTAAGAAACATGAGCAAGATTGAACAGGTCAAAAGCAACAAATACGAACAAGAATCCAAGGCACGCAAAGCTCTTCGAGCAATTGGAAGGCTTCTTGCCACTTTGCACCAAGTGCAGTTATAATGGAGTTGTAGCTGATAGTGGTGACCTGCCAGTGAAATTTTCATCATGAAAGTTTGGACTAAGCGGGGGGGGAAGTCTTGAAACCATTGGATAGGCTATTGGCTAGGGACCATTAGATATTGGCTTGAATGGCTACCAGTATATAGAAGCTTCTGCAATGCCACATAGATTCCACACACTGACAAGGCCTGCATTGTATGAAAGGCTCCAGCCTCCAAGTTACTAGCTCTCAAGGCAGAGAACAGAAGCAACGCGTGCTGCCAGCGCTGGCTTTGTCCACAGGCAGTGATGGCCGCCGTGTATGTGACAGTGTCTCTTTCTTCTGCCGCGCTAAGTAACCACAGCGCCCCTTGCCACTGCCAATTTCTCCCACCTAGGAATCAGATGGGTCTGGGTTGGCGGAGATGCTACAAGTCTGCCAATGGCACAATGGCTTACAGACGCTATGCTGAAATGACTTCTCACTGTCTAGTCTGAGTTCCCCACAAGCAGCAATAGCATCGTTGAAGCTTCTCACTTTGACTTTCCCCTTCAGGTAACTGGCAGCTGAACACAAAGACAGTGCTTTTTCCCAAAGACTGCCCAGCGCACATGCACTAATTCCAACGCTGCATATCGCCATGTTGCCCACATTCCTGAGGCCAAAATCTTCAAAGTGTCCGAAAGTTAGACAAGACATCTGATGCAAAGCAACAGCCCACTGCCCCACGAAAGTGCAAGCAGACATCACCACGCTCCGCGTGACCAGGGTTGGCTCCAAACCCAGACCAGCAGACAGTGCCAGGTGTTGCAAAGATGCCAAGGTACTTTCCCATAAGTCCATTCGCCCACATGCACTGAGAATGGTATTGAAAGCCAGAACATTCGTTTGAATATTCGAGCATTTCAAGTCCTCAAAGACGTCCAAACAACATGACCATGCAAACGCAGCATCGCAAGCAGACATTGCGGAGTTGCAGGAAACGACGTCACAAATAACACCCCTTGCCCTCGACTCTCTGAAAAAAAGCGCGGCCTTTAACCACAGAGAAGAGCACCCGAGTCTGTGAATAAGAGAAGTGCAACTAACTTCATCTGCCTGAATGTGTCTCGATTGCATAATACTAAAAAGATTGACCACCTCTTGCCACTGCTGGGCTTTTGCCAGAGCATTATAGGTCACCAAATTTGGTTCCAGATTAAGGTTGCGGACATTTTTCAGTATCTCAATGGCTTTATCCCATTTCGTGGCTTTGGTGCATGCGCTGACTGTGGCTGCCCCTTGCACATGATGGAGATGGTGTGCCTTCGCAGCCCAAAGTGTCAGACCATGCCACCAACTTAGGCCAGCCTTCTCACATCCACGTGATCCACGTGCTCCACGTGCTTCAGTTTCAGAGCTCCCCAGAGCACGCAGCGATACACGCCTATGGGTTTCGGTCCCATGCACAACTTGCATCGGAACCGGTGATCGCTTCAACCTCCAATCTTGAGCCATGGTAACAGCCTGGACGATAGCTACCCTGGTAGCAATGCCCGCTTGCAGTCACCACATGTAATGACACTATCACGCTTATCACGTTCATTAATATGATCAACTAAGGTTGAAAGTTGAAATCAAGAGTCACTCTTGAATTCCAATGGCATCAGATGGCATCAGATGGCATCAGATGGCTAGAGAATCTCGAGGCCTCGGGCTGAAGGAATGCGAGGACTGAGTCATCTTTGCAGGCAGCCTGCGCAGCCCAAAGACCCACAAAAGCAAGGCCCAAAGCAGCACTCCTTCACCCAAAATGTCTCATCATTGGCTTTAAAATGGTACAACCCCGACACAACCAGCCAACTCGGGCAACACATTGAAAATGGATTTACTTGAGCGACTTTGGTGGTAACCTGGTTGCGACTCTTCGCGGCTTATCCGTTCATCCCTCCCAGCACCCAATCACCTCCATATTCTCAAGCTTCACCTTGGGTCACACAGTAGCAGACCGATGTCTCTGAGCACAGCGTCCCCTGAACTCCTGAACTGGCACGAATAGTTTGTGACAATGTTCTCAAAGGCATTGGTGGATCATGCTCGTATCTGCGTTGTAGCTTCCAAGCCAAAGCATTTTCTAGATGCAGCGCTGTGCGCGGAGCTTAAACTGCCTTGTCAACACGAAACTGCAGAGCTTCGAGGGTTTGTGGGGTTTCCTGGGTTTCCCGGCCAAACCTCCTTCCTTCACACAGCTCCTGACCCTTGGAGCAACGCATACTGCCATTGCAAGAACTCACATCCACTCTGGATTCACTGAATTTTTGTCTTCCAGCTTTCAGTGCTGAGACCATTTCACTTTCTCCATGCGCTCACTCAAGCTAAGGGATTCCTTCGCGTAGCTTCAGAGGCTGGTTTGGGGCATTTTGGATCATATAGGAATTGAGGTGCATGAATGCTGAATCAGAATCAAAAACAAAAAGACCAAAATAAATGAAAAAAGGATAACACGAAGAAGTGCGGTGTAATGCAGAGATTACAGAGAGCAGCTGCTAAAGGAAAAAAATGTGAAGTGGTGTAAAACAGTGTAAAAGCACAATCTGACCACGAGGAGGGTGCAACCAAGTTCTTTGCTCCTACCGTCCTCCAAGTGTTGCAAACGAAGTGCGTAAACAATCGGAGACAGAACCTCATTGTAGCAACACCAGCTTCCTTATGTCTTTAGGTTGCGGTTGTAGCAAGTTATAGGTTTCTGAGCATGTGTGTGTGTGTTTCAGTTCTCTCCACTGATAAACCACCCAAGTAAGATCCTTGCGTACTGGTCATCCAACAACAGCCTGGTCATGTTAAATTCTCAATGCAGGTGTCAAGGTACAGCTGGTACAGGAGATTTGAGCTGATTGGAAGTGATTGGCAGTGATTGGTGATTGGAGCTGAGCTCGGCCCCTGGCCATTCGTAGTTCACAAGCGTTGTGGGGCCTTCACTCTGCACATCTCTGCACAATCTGTGGACAGGCAGGGCTGGTGTGAAGACGGCCTCCTGGAGGGAAGTAGGTCACCAACTCCTGCGAACCGAACGTCACCGAACCGCCCACTCCAACGACTCCAACTTGATGCTAAAACCTTTATATATGATATAAGCACATATAGATATAAGCATATACTATACAAGCTTAGTGTGCTAAAATGTGCTGAAATGTGCTAAAATGTGCTGAAATGTGCTAAAAAGTCGTATGACTGCTCTACCTGTGTGATAGGCCCGATAGGCATGGGGCAACTTAGTTACATTGAAAGATCTTGCAACAGCGCTTTCTGGGCCAAAAGTCCCGATGATGCAAAAGTATACAAGAGTATGTTTGAGCTTAGTTGAAGAATTCCCAGGTGTTCTTTTCTCTCTCGTCCGCTCGCAGCTTCGAGGGGATCCCTGACAGTCTCGTTGCCAGGTCCACATTGCCACGTTGGCAGGCTCGCATTGAGTTCAGTTTTGTCAGATCTTCGGGGTGAACTCAAACCTATCGGGACGACTTGGGACGCATGTGAGAGGTCTGACAGTCCAACATTGAGGATCGGCAGCATAGCAGCAGCACCGTTGTGCGGTTGCCAGTGTGGATCTACAACACGGTAGTCTTGATGGCGTCCTTGATGCTGACCAAAATGGCCTAAGCTGAAGGTTGCCTTTATCATCTGTGATTGATTTGACTGTCGCACAGCCAAGGCAAGGAACCGTTTCAAATTTCCCACCTTCTCCTTCACATTTGACCTCCGCACATGGCAAAATGGTGCTCAAAATTACGCTGCCTGCATCCATTCTCTGCCCGTAGCAAGTCAGGATATGCAAGGGCGAACCCTGCCTTTGCCGAAGCTGCAGCAAGCCCAAAATGCACAGCCTCCTTGAATGAGCAAGACTCAACCACCCATAGGTCCTTCTGGTTTCTTTCTTTCTCCGTTGTTTTTTCCGTTGTTTTGCCAGCCTTTGACTTGCCAAAAAAGACTGGGCATAAGTTTCAGAAAGAGCCCGAACCGAACGAGCCCCATCTAAAGAACTTCCGACTCGTCCCAACACTGCAACCCAGTCTTTGTTCCACATACTGTTGCAAGCAGCGCTCCTCAACGTCCTTGGCAATATCAGAGCACAAAGAAGCCATCAAAACGCCCGCCATTGTGTCACCTGCACCAATTGGATTGAAGCCTGGGTTCGAGCAAGGTGCGGCAACTTCTGATACGAGTTCCTGGCAAAATATCTGTCATAAAGACTTCAAACTCTGACCATAACACGTGCCGCAATGTGTTAGGTCTATGCCACGCAAGGCAAAAAGCAAATGAACAACGGGTGCAAAAGGCAGCGTCCTTTTGCTGCAATGGCTCGAGCTCAGGTGATCACTGCGTCGCACGCAGTTCAGTGCAAAACGTGCATGACAATGGAAATGTCTGATCATGTGCTCACAGAATCAAGTTGCTGGTGAAAACTCACACTCGTCTTTCTTTGTTGATTGACATTTCCTCTCTCATGCAACTGTATCCAGGGTTTCCGCAACCAACATGCAAAGCTTTCCATAAGCTTGCAGCAGACCTTCGTGAGTCCATCGGCCCACTGCAGATTTGTTGGCACCCAGAATACATTCTCTCTAGTCAAAAACTGCTGCGCTGAACGGATCGAAACTATCGTCCGCTTCTCCTCAGTTCTGGGATTTTCAGAAACCAAAACATCATAAAGAGAACGGCAGTCAGTGACCTGTATCTGTCGCAACAGTTCTTTTGAGGAGATGTGGAAAGCAGGACGATTCAGCAACAGTTCACTCAATTGGTAATTCAGAAAGGATGCCCTATCTACCGATGCATCTGCTGCTGAAGCTTCCGCAGCAAGAGTGCTTCTGCAAACTCGGCTACTCCTAGAACTCTTCCAATCTAAAAGCAAACCAGGTGAAACCACATCTGTAGCCCTTGGATCAGCTAAAAGGATAAGTGATCCATGTTGGCTCGCATGCCCCTCAGCATTCGCCCATGACGAGTCAGCGAAAGTCACAAGCATGGTGGCATAGTTGATGGGCACCGGCCGCAGGACAATGCCATGCTCCTTCGTCGCATGGAGGTGGTCCACTGCTGAGTACATGTTCTGCAGATCTTCATATGTTGACTTGGCCCCTTTGCTGCAAAGGCTGACAACTGCAGCAACATCTGGTCTCGTTTGACCAGCAAGCCACTGAAGACATCCTGCAACTGATCTGAACTCACCGAGGTCCTTCTGATCGATGGTCTCTTTCAGCAGCTTTCGGTTCACCTTGCCGCTCTTCATCTCAGAGATGAACTTCTGCTGATTCAGGTGAATCTCGTACTCGCCAGTGGCAGGGTTTTGCTTCAGGGTTATTTGCTTACCTTTGAACTCTAAGGGGTTATCTAAAGTTAACTCATTTTGGCTTCCCCATTTGAACAACTGGAGCAAATGATTTCGGTCGTACCTTGAACCATGTGCCAGCAAAAAGTCATCCACATACACAATGGCAACTGCGCAGAGGACTGGATGCTTGCAGCCATCGAACTTCTTGTGCAAGAAGAACAGCATCTTGTCCAAAGAGCCCTGCACATAGCCAGCTCGCAAAAGAGTCGCGATCACATGCCGACACCATGTTCTCGGGGCATTTGCAAGTCCATAGATGTTCCCCTTCACAAGGTAAAGCATTGCCTGAAAGGTCTTTGCCAACTTGGTGATCCCGTCTTGGGGTGGTAAAAGATAGAGCGGTTGCTCTCGCTCTTCTGGATCACCTTGAAGAAATGCTGTTTTCACGTCACCGCCCCACAACAGCCAAGTTCCAGAGTTGCCACCAAAAAGAATACCATTCTTACCGGCAAGGAAGATGGCATAGAGGACAAACTCTGACTGTCGAGTTGGAGTTGCAGCTTCGCGTTGAAGGGTCCATAGATCTGGATCAAGGCAGCCAATTGCCACGACCCTGCATTTGGCTCGCAAGGCCTCAGCTCCCTTCGACTTGTCTCGGTAGGCCGCTCTCGACCGCAAAATGCGGCGTCTTAGCTTCTTGTCATTCAGGATCGCTCTGGCCTCACTGTTGGTCAAAGGTCTGACTGATCCAAATTGTTGCCAGGACTTCTCTTCTGCTTGGGCTGCTTCGACATAGGCTTGAATTGAGGACTGGTCCATCTTCAAAATGGTTTGCCATGGGATCTCCTTGTCAAGGGCCTTTCGTTCTTGACGTGTCAAAGTTGGTGCGATGGGTGTCTTCTCACCTCTGAAGTCTGCAACGTCAGCATCAGACTCGTCGCTAGGCCCTGTCCCATGGTAGTTCTTGTCCTTTCTATAGGCATTCATGTAGATCTTGTGGGCATACGGCATGTAGATGTCATTGGAGCCGTCAAAGCCCTCAGGAAGGAGGTGAATGCCGTCCACATCATCCAAAACAAAATCAAAAGAGCGCTCATCACGACGCGAACTTGCATTGAAAGTTGAATTTGAATTCTCCTCATGTTGAGGTTCTTCATGAAGTGAAACATTGTGCACCTGATGCTCGCTGGACACTCGTTGTTCAGCTGGGCTCTCAACATCGTCAATGGTGCGCTTTGCAGGAGTCATCTTCAGGCCCTCAGGTGTCGTTGGAGCAATGTCGCCAACCTCTGGTGCAATGGCCGGCTCAGCTGGAGGTTGATCGGCAAGTCCAATGGGCAGCTGTGGCACTGAAGGTTGTTCAGCATCATCGTCAGGAATGGTGATGACTGCACTTGGAGGAGCGTCAGGAAGAACTGGAGTCGCATCACCAGGAACCTGACTCTCTTGTCGTTGATCTTGCCGAGAACCACCAGGTCTTGAAGGCAATGATGGCAATGGATCATTGCTACCACGTGGTCGGTCACGAAGAGACCTTTGCGGTACTGGAGTGGTGGATCTCGATCGATGGGTTTTTCTCACAGGGATGTTCACTTTGAGCTGAGCTCGTTGACCTTCCGTCATCCCAAAAGACTGGTTCTGGATGATCGTATTGCGATAGGTCGGAGAGCTCATGTTGAAGTTGATGGGCTGCTGGACATATGGATCTGTCTGGACTGCTTCTTCTTGCAGTGTAGCTTGGTCTTGGAGAACCATTGGAGGAGGAGTTGATGGAACTGGCTCTGATGGAATTGGAACAAACTCAGCACCACTGAACTCTTGTTGAGGCACTGCGATTTGAGGCTGGAGCTCGTCAAATCCAGGATGCTCCTGTCCAGGTGCTGGAGGAGGAATCTGCTCATCGGCCAGTTCACCATGTTGAAGGTTCTCAACTGCAGACCGCAGCGACTTAATGTCCTCATAACTTGGAGCCCACTGCTCAAATCCAAGAGCTGGACGAATCTGGTGAGGGGCAACCTTGATGGTGTTGGTGCCAGCTTGAAGCCATAAGCTTTTGCCATCAGGATCTCTTCCAAGAATTCTGGCAAGCTTGTAGCCACCGCGCTTTTTACCGGACTTAGCTGTCCAGCGCCAGTAAGCAGCAATAGAGCCAACGGGAAGATCTTGAGGACCTGTCGTAGTTGATTTTCTCAAGAGGGCTCTTCTGAGATTGCTGTCGATGCTCATGGCAGCGAGGTGCTGTTGGGCTTCAATCCTCAGCAGATCGGCTTCCTTCTGAAGCTCATCTCGAGTCTGGCCAGTCACAAGTCCACGACTGTCAGACAGGAGATTTGTCCCCATTCTTGGGATTCGGCCAAAGGCGGCTATGAAAGGAGGACGACCAGAGGACCAAGTGCAAGAATTCTTTGCGAAGCATGCTGCAACCACGGCCTGCTCCATCATGGCTTCATTGGAGACTGCTCTGGAGTCGATGATGCGCTCCATCAGGTCTCTCAGCACAGAGTTGTGGCGCTCAATGAGACCAATGCGATGATGGGACTCGGCTGGGTTAAAGTCCACAAAGACACCAGCCTGATCCATGGAAGCTTCAAAGTAGCCCCTGAAGGATCCATCTGGATCAGCTTTCATGCGAAGTGGAAATCCAAAAACACGTGCCCAGTGGGACACGAATTGAAACTCAACTTCTTCAGGGCTACGGTCTCGCAAGAGCAAAGCCATGTGAAAGTGGGTGCATTCATCAATAATGCCTAGAAAAACATAGTTCACAGCTCGAATGTCCCTGACATAGAACAAATCGATCTGAACCGCATCAGCAAACTGAAGACAAACATCATGGGGAATGCCCGAAGGTTCAGGGCGAGATGGCCCCTTCACTCTCAAACATGACTCGCAAGTCAAGGCCTCGACCGCATCATAGAGCTTCTGGTCTTTGATGCCATTCATGGCCAACATCTTCTTGAGCTCATTGGCGTGAGGATGCCCAAGATTTCGATGGAGTCGTGAGAGAATGGTCTTCAGTTGCTGCGAAAGTCCAGGCAGCTTGGGAAAAGAAATGCCGTCGACATTGTGTGCGATGATGCTTTGAGGATCATCATCTATAGTCACCACATCTTGTTGTGGAGCTCGCTCTTGTTGCGGTGCTTGCTGTGGAGCCTCTGCATGTCCAAAGAAGAAAATTCCAAGATTGACAGGCTTCCGGAAGCGAGCTCTGGGATGTCGCACATCGGAGAGGTCCTCCACAACAACGTCGATCTCACCATCGTTGTAGAGCAATGCAAATCCACGATGGGTGTGTGGGATATGAGCTGGAAGTCGTAGCATAGCAGGCTGCACAGCGATCTGAACTCGCTCAAGCTTGTGCCATTTCACCATGTCACTGACCGACTTCCAAAGAGGATCAGAAGTTGCAAGCACGTAGCTCTTCATGCGAGTTGTGTCGAAAGTCCGCTGGGCAAATTCAAAAAGCGGCTTCCAATCTTCAGGATTGTCATTGTGCTGGGCTACCCAAACTGAGTGTTGAGAAGACCTTGGCATCATGAAGCGTTGAGGATCCAGCTCCATAGCAGTCTGCTTGATGCCAATGAGCATCTCTTTGACCATCTCATCGGGGTAGTGCTGAGACAAAGTGGTCTCCTTGCCTTCCAGCTTGACACATTGGCGAAGTTGCTCAGGGCTCAAACGGCGCGTCAGCCGAGCCAAAACATGAGGACAATTGCCCAGGAACTTGAAGGTCTTGCGGATCATCTGGTGCTTGGAATTCACCGCACCGTAGGCTCCTGAATGGCAAATTGAAAAACTCACGCCAGGCAACTTCGACAACTTCAGAATCAAAGGCTCCACCCAAAGTCTACTGGTCACAGGGTTTTCGATGAGGAAGAAACGACCAGCATTGGATTGTTTGATACACCAATCCACAATCTTCTTCAGCAGCTTCCTTGCCTTGGCACGGCGCATCAAAAGAAGGATTTTGCGTCTGATGTAGTTGACATTGTCCTGAAGCAGACACCAGTCTGTGCAATCAATGCCCTGAACAAGAAACAGTGGCCTGTAAAAGTCCAACAGGTGATCCACGTGGGCCTGGTGTTCTGCCTTGCTCAGGTCATAGCCTGTATTGAGGTCAATTGGCCCCAGAGCTTTAAGTCCAAAGCTCTTGGCACGGAAGGAAAGTCCAGCCCTTCCTGCAAAGGTCTCAAGCAAATCCACACGAGACCGATGCTTGTGCCGTTGGAGAGGGTTTGGATTTGAACTTGAGGTGGAAGTCAAAACCTCATGTTCAAGCTGGGCCAAATTCACAAGCTGTCGCACTGAATGACGCAAAGTCTTTCGGCCAAGGTTGGAAATCAAAGCTGCATGTGGTGGAGGCTTCAACTTGAAAACTGTTTTGCCAGTCCATGCACTTTTCATTTGGAATGCCCCGGAACTGTCACCCCATTCATAGGTGAGTGATTGGTTCCTGCCATCCTCATACTGCATCTCAACAACGCACTCCGGGCATAGTTGATGGAGGTGAATTGGGCATGGATCTGGCACTTCAAAAAAATCAGCCTCACAAAACAACATCTTCCTGGGAACGTGGTGAACTCGAGTGACATATTGAGAGTCCACCTGCCACTCATCGCTCAAGCAAAGTCCTCGGGCGTCATGTTCACGTCCCAGCCATGAAAGCCGTCCGGGCCTCCGTCCGAACTCGGTGGGTATGCATCCGAGTCGTAGGGAATCTCCGACTCCATCTCTGGCAAATAGACCTGCAGAGCTTCCACCGGTTGATGGTCGGTGGCACGGGCTCTCGGCTTCGCTTTGGCTTTCGAAGATGTCCCTTTCTTGCCACTCCTGCCCTTGCCCTTGGTTGGCATGTCCGTGATCGGCAGGATGGTGGATGAGGAGGGAGGCGGCAAGTGCGAAGAAGGTTGCAACTGAGGACTTCCATGAACCACCCAACCTTCTCTTTCCAGATCCCACTTGTACCGCTGGTGGCACCTCTTGCACTTGCTGAAGGACCCGTGCACGTTGCCGTATCGATGAAAGGCTGGATGGAGGCAAGTTGCAGGATTGACCGCCTTCATCTTTGGCGCCAGCTCCTTCTTCTGCCTTTCCAGTTCCTGTTGGTGCTCCCATGTGGTCATCCACTGTCGTGGCATCAGGCCGAATTTCACCAGCGTGGACATGGCCTTGTAGGCCCGAAAATACAACATCATCACTTTGATCACCACATTCTCCCATCGAAAGGAAGCTTCTGAGCGCCCTGCACGAAGCATTGCCGAGCGATCCGATCTGTTGGGGTGGCTGATCTCGAATTGAGCCCTTGTTGAGGATTCCGGGCGCGCATAGCAGCTCAGGATCCGGATCATGCCAAAGATCAAGATTCGACAGCTTTTTCCAACATGACATCTTTGAAACTCCATCTGAAAAATGAACAATGCTGACAGCAAGATGCCCATGACGACTAGTGAGTGGCATGCTCAACCCCAAATTGGTAAATGTCAAAGTCATGGTATGCATATCGATGACACATCCAAGTCGTTGCAAAAGAGTACGACTTGCCAAAAAAGGAATACCAGTCTTCAAAACACTTGCACCGAAGATCACTCCCTGGGATTCCTGGCCTGGCATCGAAGCTGGGAAGTAGGCTCTTCTCGAAGACACCACTGGAGCTCCTGAGCCAAACTGGAAGTGGTCGGTGCAGTCAAACATCTTGACCCGGAGATCGTGGCGATGGAGGATTTCTGAATGGGTCTTCAACCAATGCTCACCACAACATGAACGCTGACATGCAGTATCCAAAACCATAAAACCACCCAGGTCAATTGCTTCGGTCACCCATGCTGTCGAAAGATCTGCCCCAAGAACCAAATTGGTGGTGAAGGTGAAATAACTGGATTGGGGATCTACTTCATGGTGTTCTGGGTCATCGTGTTGATGGTCATCATGAGATAGTCCAACCACATAGCTCTCCGCTCTTCTTGATGCCTTTGCCCCCAAAGTTGCCAGAAGACTTCGGGGTAGCTACACTCGAACCACCAGTTTGATGCCCTTTTCCATCTCGCTTGCCACCACGCTCAGCTGAAACAGGACAGACACTATCGCCTGCCCAATGTCCAATCTGTCCGCAGGCACTGCATGACGAGGACTTCTTGCGCTCCTCAATGCTTTTACGGCCAGAAAACTTGCGACCAAGCACTGAAGCCTGCAACTTCTTGGACGTAACTGTGAGAACCTGGGCAAGCTCTGCAATATCATCAGGATTCAAAGCTGCATCATCGGCGTCAGCCTCGTCTCCATCAGCACACTCGGCATTTTCATCTTCTTCTGCAATGGGGCCAAGTTCACTCTCATCCCCAACTGCCTCTTCAAATTCCTCATTGTCGCCAGCAGTCTGGTCACCGTCTGCAAGTTCCGTTTGGAATGCACGCTTTGGATAACCCTTCCCCTTTGAGGATGACTTGCCCGAAAAACTACTTGAAGAGGATCTTTGGGAGGACGCTGAAGTGCTAGTCATGGACCCCGTTGAACTTGATGGTGAACCCTTATTGCTACCCTTGCCACTGTTTCCCCATTGGTTTCCAGGAAAAAACAAGGGAGGGCTCGGCTTGAAATCAGGAAACTGAAGGCACAGGCTCTCATAGATCTTCTCATAGTGAAGGTCATTGCCAGCGCCGATGAGGACTAAGCGCTGAAGCTCAGGAGAGAGAAGGCACCGCTCGAGCACCCGATTGCCACGTGACTCAGCATCGTACATAGCAGATGACTGAATGCCCACATTGTCCAAATCGCGTTCAATCCGTCGATATCTGTTCAGATATTGGCGCACGGTTTCATGAGCAGTCCGCTTGACAGTCTCGAAATCACTCAGCAGTTTCCGTTTTTGGAAAAGAATGCGCTGTTGGAGAGGACCGCGCAATTCATCCAAAATATACTTCACGCCATCCTTGGCGTTCACCTTCTTCAGGTCGAAGTGCTCAGCCTCTGACTCAGCCTCGCCAGTCAAAGAAACATAAAGCGCAAGACCCATCCCGCTCGAAGTCATATAGTTCCTGGATTGCATGACCCACGTCTCAACCTTGCGCTCGTATTTGCTAAAGGCACGAAGGTCATTCTGCTGGTACTGCCATCTGGGTGGCTGAGGAGGAGTGCCACCGCGCCATCTGACTCCGCGGGCAGGACCACGCGCACTGTTCCAGGAGCTCTCACTGTCTGTATCTTTCTTCTTTCGATCATTCAACAATTGTCGCATCACATTCAGCAGTTCACCATTGGCACTAAGTCTTTCACCAGAGTCCGCTGAACCTCCATGATGAAGAGCTGGTGCAATTGGGGCTTGAACAACTGAGGATGAACTGGAACCTCTACGACGTCGGCGTCTGTGGGAAGCAACATCATCTAGATCAACCACAGGATCCGTCGTAGGCGTCTTTGACTCGGCACGCTCTGCATGGCTTCCAACTGATGGCTCATCAGGAAACTTTGCATGAGCAGCTGCAGGACTTTTCGAAGTCTTCACAGGGGATCCTTCCACAGAACCATGTGAAGAACCACCAGAAACTGACCTTGAAGTGGAACGATGAGGCACATACAACCAAGTTCCAGTGGCTGTCTCTAACTTGGCCGGCTCTCCAACGTTAAAGAACTCGCATCCACCACATTGCATGCATCGATACATCCCATCTTCATCAACACTCCAGTCGTCAGTTCTACACTTCAGGCACATCCATTGGGCTCGTTGGCTAGCTGGATCCAAAGGAAGAGGATCTACAGGGGCTGGAGCAGGTCTGCCAGGCATATATCTACGTTCTTCAGCTGCAACCTCTGAAGGAGTCCAACTATATGAGGAACCATCATCAGATCCATCGCCAAAAAGGTCAGACATGCCAAGCCCGCCATGGCTCCGCGGCCAACTGACCATAACACGTGCCGCAATGTGTTAGGTCTATGCCACGCAAGGCAAAAAGCAAATGAACAACGGGTGCAAAAGGCAGCGTCCTTTTGCTGCAATGGCTTGAGCTCAGGTGATCACTGCGTCGCACGCAGTTCAGTGCAAAACGTGCATGACAATGGAAATGTCTGATCATGTGCTCACAGAATCAAGTTGCTGGTGAAAACTCACACAAACATCTTCAAACAGAATTCTCCCTCTTAAACATGCATGACGTCATTTATGATATGACCTATTCATACGAAGTCTGGACCCAGCTCTGAGTCTGCGACATTCCACTTCTGGGAGATCATAACGGATGCAGCGAATGTTGCCAGACTCTCGAGAGTAGAGGAATGCAGATTTTGCGCCATCCTTAAGCCAAAAAAAACATGGACAGTTAAAGCAGGGAACATATGAATTGATCACAATGGTGGGAAAACATGGGAAAACTGGGAAAATGGTTCATTCCTTCAATTAGGCCTCATAAAGTGGCTAAGCAATATGGATCCATCGGTATGTGTACATGTCATGACCCTGAAGGATCCTAAAGGTCTGTAGGTGCGAGCAGCTTGAACAATTTCTGAACAATCCTCTTATGTTCTTATGATTCTTATGATTCTTATGATTCTTATGGATTGCCTTTACCCATCTTAGGTCCGGCAGGTCAACATGGACAGATGATGACAGGTGCAAACGCAGCTGAGCATCAGTGATCGCAAGATGGCTCAGCCCCCCAAAGCGCTCCAGCCTCTCAAGTATCATGTCTGAACGGTCTGAACATGTCTGCACTGTCTGCACCCAACCAAACGAAGAGTAACGTGCAGCATCTGTCAGCACGTAACATGAACCGATGTAGAAAGTTTCTCCCTTGTCTCTATTCCTAGTCTATACAGGTTGCTTCCATGCTATTACATGCTATTACTATATGGAATCTAATATAGACTATACAGTATATGATGCATGATGTTGGTTACAATTTGGTGTGGTCTACTCACTCTAGTCTAGTGAGACCTGGCTGGCCAGGTGGCCAGACTGCATACAAGAAACGTCTTGTTCGCCGCTTCATTGATTTGCTCTGCGGAGATCTGCCCCTCCTTGCATTCAAAGCCCATCAGGGCACAAATCTCCATCGCATTGACCTGGCAGTAATGGACTTCTGTCTTGGAACACAGGAAGGTACAATGTTATACATATATCATATACCTGGATTTTCACTTAGCACTTTTTCTGCTCATAGCAGTTTTCACTTGGATTTACGCTCGTTCTGACATTTTATGCTCACTTGAACTAGAAAAAGCGCATTTATTTCTTGACGGACGGGCATTTATGCTTTTTTCCCGGCTTATTTCCCGGAAAAATACGCTCATAATTTGGGCTTCAAAATGCACAAAGTGCAAAAATGCCAGAAGTGGTGGAATTTCGCTCATGTGGAGAAAAACCGCTCAAAAAGCGGAAATCTCTGAAATGAGCATTTCTTTGTGCTTTTTCGAGGATACAGGTATATATATATATTTATATTTATTTATTTATTTATATATTCATTTATTTATATTTATGTCAAGCATGTGAAAGACTGAACACGAATTGCGCTTTCGTAGCTCTATCCCATGTGCCATCCCTAGCGGAGAATTCGTCACGCCCATTCCACAAGAATGCGATGAGCCTTGTAGATATCAACGTCACCAGCGTCAAGGATATCAATCACATCCTCATGCCACTCAGACGCAGTTTCAACCCAGGAAAAAAGGAGATGAGAAACATCGCTATGAAGCAGTGGGCCACATTTGCATACTGTATCCGTTGGGCATCTGAGCATCGTGTCCCCATCAATGAAAAATGTATCAACGTCTGAGTCTAAGTCTACACTGGGCTATCCTTTCAGTTTGATAGGCCCTATATGTAGGCACATGTGGGCAGTATGTCGGTGTCCCCTTGTGTCAGATGCTGTCAGAATATGTCAGAACGCAGCCACCAATCTCCCACGACCCCAGACTGCATCCCACCGCATCCCACCGCATTCCCATTCACCTGCACAGGCTTGGCAACATCCAGAAGTACCCACGCTCCACGCGCTCCATCCGTTTTGGCTTTAGCAGCTTTAGCAGCTTTAGCAGCTTTAGCAGCTTTCAGATAGAAGTCTCGGCTGGTTCCGTTCCTGATGCGGTCTCTGCCAAATATAAGTTGCAAAGCTCAAATCCTTGTTTTTGCCGTGCACTCAGATAAAGGAAACGAAGTAGAGTGATTTGAATTACCAAAGCAACCAAGACTCGGCCAGGTCCCCATCAGAAGTATGCCTTTGAATGTTGGTGCTGCAGCCTCACAATTTCCGAAAGAGCTCCGGAACAAAAAGGCACGGCAAAACAGCCCAGCCTTTGATCTCTGCAGGCACAGGCACTTTGCAAAAGCACGGCTTGAAAAAAGTTACACATGCTATCATAAGTTCAAAGCTTTGCCTGTTGCACTGATTTGGTCAAGTTGCGACAATCTTTGCAAGCAGCTCATCTGCAGCGGCTGAGCTTACAGGTTCCGAAGGAGTGATAAGCTCCGAGATGGTTGGGAGGCCGGTTCTCGGATAATCCACCAAAGTCATAAACTGCCTGGTGGTTGCACCCATCACCGTGATATCCTCGATTCCTTGTTGCATCTGCAGCTGACGAATCTGTTCTCCAGTGTAACCACCCAAGAACTGTGCCACAGTTACACGGCAGGGGCTTGCGCCGCTTGCACCAAATGCGGCGGATGCAAAAGCGCCAAAAGCGCATGCAGCTTTGGCAGCATTCTGGCCTTTTCCCCCCACGCCAAGCGTGTGAGCTTCTGCTCGGTTCACCTGCCAGATTAACTTCAACGGATGTCCAAGCTAGACCGCACCCCCAATTGGCAAACCATGGCAAACATCCAAAAGCATCCAAAAGCCACCCAGAAAGTACGTGACTGATTGCTCGATATTGCTCGATTGTCTTAGATGGCAGGGCTTTGAAAACAAATTACACATCTGTCCTGACCAAGATCAAGCACACGAAGCCGAAGGATGTGTTGCAGCCCAGGGTTCAAGCCCAACACGAGTACACCCGAAGGATTAGGCCCTTCCAGCTCCATTTGGTGCCATGTGCCAGCACCAGGGACCGCACGATAAGGAGCCACTGGAGCCAATGCGCTCCAAATGCACAAATGGATTGTGCGCCGGGAATTGAACTCAGCTGATTTGTTTAGACGCGATAGAAGCTTGAATTTTTGGACTTCTGACTGACCTCACTATTTGGCCTTTCAGCCTTGATAAATTAGCTGGCAAATTGCACGGCCATTGTCTTCAGCCAAAGTCAGTCGTAATCAAGTTGTAATCGCTCACAGCCGTCCTGGCAATGTTCCTTCTCCTTGTGAGGCAAGACCTGTCCAAAGCACTGTATAACGTTGGTCGGAAAAGAGTTGTCACATCATGATGTTCCATGATGGTACTTTAATGATTTTAAAATATTTATATAAAAGGTAGTGACAAGGCAATCATCATCTACCGCAAATGTTTACGAATGATGACTCACGGTTCTTGTACATCCAATCTATTCACAGGATTTTACAGGTGGTCTGAAGCCTGCATTGCCTGGTACGCGATCACATTTACAAATGACTTCAAATGCATGCATGCGCCTTCAGTTCCTGCTGATATTGCAATCTCTCTGCGGATCATGAGAATCATAGCTGCACTTGTCCAGTACACACGTGCAGCGGCTTGCCTCTCGCAAAGCTTTAAAGAACTTCTCCTTGCTGACTCGAGTTGACCTTTACTTTGGCAGACCCGATTTCCAAAACAAGAGCTAGGCCCAGCTAGGCCCAGCTAGGCCCAGCTTGGCCCAGCTAGGCCCAGCTAGGCCCAGCTAGGCCCAGCTAGGCTGTGGTGTATCAAACGGTTTGAGTCAATGACAGACCGCTGACAAATCTACCTTGACAACTGTGACTCCAACCCATCGCTTTCAAAATATGTGCGGAAAATCCTGGCCAGACACTCGAGACACTCAAGCTCCGCCATATGGCAAGTTTGACCACTTCAGGACAGAAACTCTGATATTTCTGATCAATGGCGGCAATCACTGACAGCCAAACATCAGATGTGATGCCTGAGAATCTCTGGGCACAAAGTCCGGTTGTCTCGAACCTGGCTTCGCGCAAACTCAAAATGACATCTATTTGTATCGCATCGGTAAGGTTTGAAGATAAACACGAATGTTATGCCAGTTATGCCAGTTATGCCAGTTGTGCCAGTTGTGCCAGTTATGCTTTGTGTTTTCAGATATTTTCAGAGGCATCCCGGCAGCCAACAGATCCAACAAAAGCCCAGAGCACGACGAGGTCAGACACGTGGCCACGGAGAAGGAGCCTGGGAAACAGCACCAGGTGAACAGCTCAGGACAGCATAATACAAGGCACATAGAAATGTACAGGACAGGTAAACAATGGTGTAAACAACAAGGAAACGTGTGAAATCATCGTAGCTGTAGCATGCTGTAGCTGGATGTCCACAGATGAAACTGGGAGAACAGAACATACATTTCCAGATTCATGGAGGTTTGTACCGGAATCCGGCGAAAACTGCTTTGGGAGTCCAATGAAGATATGAAGGCCTTCCAGCAGTAAATGATCTCAGCCACTTGAGGTCACTGGGGTCATGGCAGGAAGCTCAAGAAGTCCGGCTCTGCTGCGTACCGTCGCACACTGGCCAGAATATTGATCCCAAAGCATGATGCTTCTTCTCCAAGCTCCTGGTCCAACATATGACTCAGAGATCCAACCGAGCTTGGCTAAATACATGGTGACCTTGGGTGTTCCCTGGGTGGTTGGACCAAATTTGATAGGGAATGCTGGCCATGTGAGACCGAACAAACTTTCAGCAAGTCCGTCTACTGACTTGGTGGTTGTTTGATATGTTTGATGTTTTTCAGAAATCCTCACTCCCAGTCACAACTGCTCTAAGTACTCTTTTCACCTCACCGAGGGGAAGAATAAACAGCATCTGCAGACCAAAACCAGCCTGATTGAGAACCTCCATCATGGTCTCCAAATACGGTCTGCCAGCAATCCAAACACTCACACAAAACAACGGTGCTTCCATGTTGTCATGTTGTCATATGTTGTCTGGTAATGATTCCTCTATCATCCTCTGTCCATAGTCTCTGTATAGTTTCATAGGTCAAGCCCGCCCACCTGCTCAGCACATTGTCCTTGGCTTACGAAACTCATGGCACATCGAACGCATCGTAAATGAAAACCCCTCACTGCCAGTGCAGCCAGGCATCTCCCTCTCGCATCCGCATTTGTAGCACTCTCCTGGGATGTGCAAAGTGTGCTTTATTAAGTGCAGAGTTAGTGAAGCTTGGCGAGTCTGCTTTGTACATTCACTGCCCTTTACAATCACGGCACTCCGAGATCACTCCAGATTTCTCATGTCTCCATGTGACAGTCACATAGTGTGATTGGACTCGAAAGGATCTTTGACACCTTGGACATCCTTAGGCAACTTTGGGGGTCGGACTCCAGGAAGTCCAAGGTCTTTTTCCGACTGAAGCGTTGGTGCCGTACTTTCTCTTGGTGCCTCCAGCAAGAACATCTAGCCTTCAAACTGTGCTTCCTGTATGGTCAGAAAATAAGGCACGATAGTTGAATGAATCTACAACAGGATTGAATTCATCTGGGCCTGGTGAAGAAAGATCTCTGTCAAGGATCTCGGACAGCACTTTGCTCATGTACACCATTGTACACCGGTATTATCCCCGTCGCCCTTCGCAGATCAAAGTTTGCGCCTCAATAGCATTGGAGTTGTGGCTTCCATATCAGGCGGAAGCCATTTCTCGTCCTCCTGGCGAGCTGCTGCAAGCTGTTTCAGTGCACTTCACTCGCGACTCGCATCGACTCGCTATCACTTACTTCACTTACTTTATGAGATCTTATGAGACTTGTATAGACTTGTCACATCGCATCACCAAATTGCACCTTGAAGCTATCGTTCTTGTCCACTCCTGTGAGATTGAGAGATTGAGAACGACGGGTGGGCCCGTCTCGTCTGAGCAACAAAGCACATCTGAAAGTTCGGGTTCCCCTGCCTGCAGACCCAATGGCCTGCCAAACGTTTGCCATCACGTCACATGGAACGTCGTGTACGTCGTACTTCGTGTGTTCATTGACTCCTCATAATAAAAAATATTTAATGACATATAGCGCGAGTCATCGTAAAATCTTGAGGCTCCCCCAACACCCTCAGATGCTTCAATCTTTTTGTAGGTGTGGTCAGTCAGAACTTGACAAACACATGAGGATGGGGGTGAGACTTTCTGTAGCAGTTGTCCAGCTTCAAATTTCCCAACTTGCTAGTCACTGGCTATGAATCGAGAATTAGACAGAATGATTGTTGCAACAAATGGCGCAGGGGCCAACGCCCATCAAATTTCTGTATTTTTCTATGTACAGAGTCGGATGCCGAGCAAATCATACAGCCTCTTGCCAGTGCATCAGCAGAAATTGGGCCCCACTTTCGTCTCCACCACATTGGGCAATGTATCAGGGGGCATTGGTGGACAAGTCGGCTCAAAGGCCGCAAAAGGCATACACAATGGCACTGCTGTGATTCCATAGATTGGCGGATGCCGAACTCGTGGATGGACTGTCAGCTGAAATGTCATGGGGCAGCTTCCCATCTGCTGAGCAAGCAGCAGCTTCAGCCTGTCTTCTGCCAGCAAAGCTGCCAACGTCAGACGCTTCTGCAAGTAGAACAAGCCAAGGGCTACTATGCCAGTACCACAAAGAACCATGCATACTTCGATGATGTATAGACCAATCCATCTCTCCTCCAAGAAGAAAATGTCTACTATTGCCATGACCACAATGGCCAAAATGATGCACAGCTGTGCGCCATAGAGTATTAGTCTCATGGGATTGAGTTGAACTGATGCTGCAGCAAGACTTCGGAACTCTCCATCGATACGAGTCTTCAGAATTTGGTACTCTGCAAACGGCAGGTGCCCGTACAGCTCTTCAGGCATCTTTTCAGCCAATGCTCGTGGCACCCCAGGTGATGCAAATTGGTGCTCTATATGAAGATGAATTGCCATGGCGCCGGCTCTAAATGTGGCAATCTCAGTCTACCAGGTCTACCAGCACAACAGGTTGCAATAGTGAAACGATGCGGCATGTGTATATACTCTCTCGGACATTCGTCTCATAGTCACGCAAGCGTGTGAGACCGGTGCACACGCCGACGAGTATAATCATATGTATTTTTGCGTATGTATGTGTAATATGAGTATCTAGGTCTCTATATATATATACAAATATATATATACATATCTGTGTGTGTGTGTATCCGTGTGTGTTGGGGGGGAGAAATGTTATACCGTTATATGGTGTGTATGAAATTCGTACTCCATGCTGTGTAAGCTTGCATTTCGTGACTGAGAGGACTGCGGGCCCTGCAAAGGATGTCGATTTGTTTTTGATCAAGTCTTGCTGCAAGTCTTGCTGTTTGCTTCATGTCTGCGCAAGGGAAACGTTCCGGGAAAACATGTTCTTTCGAGGTCAATTTCCGGAAATGATACCAGGGCAACCCGTCGTCTGTGCATGAATAGGAAATTTGGAAATTGCGTGTCGTCGCATTCGCTTCGTGTCAAAAAGATCTTGCCTGCTCGTTCCATGCATCAGTTGCTGTGCTCGCTTCCTGTGGGGTCTTCAGCCTGCAAGCGCTTCAAGATGTTCACATGAGCTGTGTCAACATTGCACTGCGCTAGAGTTCATTCTCCATAGCTACAATGAGCTGTAGTCGCACCTGTCAGCAGCGCTGCCAGATGTTTCCACCACCTCAATGATGAAACAACAAGGCTCATCATCCATGCCTTTTTCCACGGGATACACTTCAACTGCTTTTAAGTCCTTTAGTTTGCACCTGCAGACTGTGGTGACCAAAACCTGCTCTGAATCCGGAACCTTTCGGGACAAGTTTCTTGCTCCAAGCCGCTTTTTCATGGTCAGAGTCGTTGAAAAGAAATCATTGGACATGAAATTCAGCTATTGCCACTGATCTATTGCCATGCTAAGGTTCTTGCAAGCGGAATGGTGAGTGTATGCCTCACAAGTGGGTTGAACATGGATATTCAAACATGTTCAAACCAAAACATGAAGAAACATGAACAATCTCCCTGAGGCGTAATTGCAAGTGTGGCCTTGCAAACTTCCCCAGCACACTTGACCTGAACACTCCAATGAATGACACTGTTCCTCACTCTTCAACATGAAACATCACACTTGAAGTCAGCAATGACTGTTGTTCCAGAATCGTTTCGCTCGAATCAAGAATTTAACTTGAAGCTTCGAAAGCGAGGCCAATTGCATGCTACCCTACCTTGAATCTGCACAATTGTTGAGCCCCAGAAATTGAAATGCGTGTATAAAAGAAGAAGAATGACGCAGGGGCCTTGCTGTAAAGTTTGTTACTCTGGTTGCGAGGACAAGCGGCTTTTGCGAGGCAGACTGCAAACCATAGGCAGCCAGCAAGGTCCTGATAAGGATCTCCCCGGTCAGGAGAAAAACACGTCACTGCATTGAGATCATTTTGCTGATTTTGTGGCCGGCCAGCAAGGCTGGCGCAAGAACAAGAAAGACAAGATCAAACCAAACATGTTTGCAGGAAAGCACCATGGGAACAGCTGGCAATGAGCTTGCAAGCCGCATCACTTGGCTACTTTTTTTAATGTCTTTCTTTGGTCTGATCGCATGGGAGGCCAAATTTAGGCCTGCGATCTGGGCCAGCAAAAGCCTAAGCACTGTGTGCACAGATTAGATGATGTCTGTGCTAGTTCTGCTGCTTTTATGATCTCGTTTAGATTCAACAGTCGAGCTGATTGGTTCAGGTGCGTTCCAAAGGAAAAGCAGTTGCCTCCTCCCCCAATGACGAGAAGGTACCCCGTGCCTTCCAACAAGACTGATGCCAAGTTGTGCCACATAAAGATCTCCGGCTCACCATCTTTCATTGCGTCACACTGGATGTCCAGAGGCTTTCCATAGGCACAAACAGGAGCAGGGCCATATCTTGCTTCTATGCCCCCAACCACGATGAAATGACTCAAATGTTCGTGTAAACTGTGGCCATACCTGGGCTGGGGCAAAGGAGACAAAGCCCGTCGCCATGCAAGTTTGAAGCAGCCATCAAACACGGCATGCAACGTCCATGCATCGCCCAAAATTTGCTCCTCGGCATCAAGGCCTCCACAAACCAAAACACCTCCAGACCCAAGTGCAGCTGCATGTGAGTGCCGAGGGGCCGGAAAACTACCATCCAATGCAGGTTCTACTGAGAAATGTTGCCAAGTCAAGGACTCAGTGTCCAAGAACCAGGCTTCCTCCAAGCTGAGGACAGTCTCCCCAATTCCGCCGAGGATCAGCAAACCAGGTCCTCCAATGTTGATCTTCGTAGCAGTGTGACGCCACCGGGCTGTTGGCCATGGATTGCTTTGAGGGACTTGCTTCACAACCGGAGAGTTTTCACAGCTTTCTGCAATTGTGCACATGGACAATGCTGCGGTAGGTCGTTGTGGAGCGAGTCGGCCGCCGAAGAAAAAGATCTGAGAGTCTACGACGGTAGATGTACAGTACATTGCAGAAGAATGCTCACCAACTTCTTGGAATATCTTGTCCTTGCATCTCAAGTTCCCATCAAATGGGGTCTCAAGTTTCAGGTGCATGATTGACTGTTGACGTCCATGGGGAGCATCAGATGCTGTGGTGTTGAAAGTTCCTTGCCCTCCACATATCACTAAATGCCCATTAGAGTACGAAGCCGCAAGGCCAAACCTTGGAATGCCCACTTCAGAGGCCGAAATGGATACAGACTTTCCAAGAGTGTGACTTGACTCGGAGTCTTCCCACTGTCGCTTCGCTCGGGTGCAGGTTCCAGACATGGCAGCGAGGCAAAAATAGTGCACACATTTCAAGTGAAACTCCTCAAATTCATCGAATGCTTCCAATTGAAAGGCTCGAGCGAGTTCGTCTCTTGGTGCTGCTGCAAGTATGGAAGTCATGTTTGCAGCATCCACACGGTCGAACGAGCGGAAGCGCGATCTTTGAGCCTCTAGGTCCGGAGCGAAAAGCAAGGCTCGCAAGGGACATTGGCGCTGAATGAAGTGCCTGCGCATGAATCTCCCGAAGGGATCATGTGGGCCGATTTGCTCGTAGACACCAAACAGGCAGTTTGGAAAAGACTTTGCGACCCATTCAATGAGTGCGTTGCCCTCTTTGTATTCCATGTATGCTAGAACCACTTCAGCAATCAAAAGGGTAGGCACTTGGAAATCAACACCTGCATGTTTCAGAGATGCTTCCACTTCAGCAGTGTCTCGCAAATCCGCTCCACAGCTGTGCAACCAGTCAGGTCTCAGGACCTGCGCCTGCCGCAGCAGAGCTGCTTTTCGGGACAGCACCGCTGGAAAGTCGACTTCAAAGTAACCACGAAGTCCTTGAGGCCAGCCACGCCTCAAAGCACCGGTGTCAAAGCCAGCCCCTAAAACCACCACGTTGTAAGGATCTCCTGGAGAGATACAACTGCGAAGAAATGTCTCCTGCATCTGGAAGACTCCCAAGTGACGAACATAGTAACATCTATGCACCAACGGCGACCTTCGAATGAGGCGTCCTTTGGGCCCACGCACTGCCACATGACCAACAAAAGCATCCTCAAAGTATCCTGCAGCTGCTGTGCTTGCCTTACTCACAATGGAGCTGTCATTTGTTGCCTGAACAGTTGCATCCGCTCCAGAATAGTCTGCCATGAGCGCTCGGCGAACACAGCGAACACAAGAGTTACACGGGCATTCTGTTACTGTTTGGTGGAAAATGACAAATTGGACAAATTGTCTCTTAGTACAGTACTCTCAAGAAATCACTGTATATGTGTATGTATGTATATATATATATCATAATGGGACTTGCAAAACTCTGAGTGCTCTGGGCACACGCTTTCTACAGCCCTGTTTTAATGTCATGACTCCTTCATGAGGGCTCTCTGTGGGCACGTTTGATTCTGCTGATTGTATCAGTATGAGATTTCTAAGCCAAAATCTGGATTCATGTCAAAAGTCAAAATGCGCACCAGAGTCTGTCAGCCTTCCTGGCACTGACGCGTATCCAATCCTCTGGAAGCATCACATGGCTAAAATATGCTAAAATATCTCAAATGCTGTTGGGAAGGCCAACCTATGTATCCATAGTCCTCTTTGGTTTGTCCAAAGTGGCTCTGTTCTCCGACCACATGGCAGCAAACTCCTCGAAGAGTACATTATCCGCACCACCAGGTCCTCCACAGCGACTGTTGGAGGACCCCCCCTCTCTCTCGTGCGGTCTTTTCAATCAGAAATCCTTTGGAAACTTTATGAAACTTTGATATCTTTACATATCTATATATCTTTGATGTCGTCTGACGCAGAATGCGCCTGCAGCAGTTCGCCCTGCTGCATGGATCGGAGGCTTTCTGGGTCCAGTAGCCCTCCGCACATCTCAGCACTACACGCTCGGCACCTTGAAGATCCTTGAAGATCTTGCATCTCATCACTACTTTATGCCACTTTAAGACACAGCGATGCGGAGCGCGCCTCTGCAAGCCGTCCAAATGGGTCTTGGCGTCAAGGGCCTCGCCTGACACAACCCGTTCTATATATATACATATACATATGTATAAACATATATATATATATCCCAAATAATCCGCCATGAAGCTATACAACAGGTGCGCAGCCAACGCCCAGGTTGAGCTGTGGCCACGCAAACATTGCTGAAGAGTCCTCCAAGGTCGCCCTTTTTCCAGGCCTCCATACCGCTGGTGTCATGGCCATGACCGCTGACACTCTTGTAGGCTTCAACGATGTTTTGGTAATCCTGGGCAGGAACAGTGACAGCCGGAACATCTGCAGTAACTTAGCTACCATAGAATTCGCTTAAAATGGCTCATGCCAGTCACAGAAGCGCAGCAGCATAAAGTGCTCCTTCTCTTTTGCGGCGTGCCTTAGCCCACCAAATGGTAGCGGAAGCCACATGGCACTTTGATCACTTTGCGAGGTTCCCTGCCCTTCGTGCCAGTTCGTGTCGCTTCGTAACCTGTGATCCTGACTTATCCCATCTTACTGTTTTGTTTTTCTGCTTCCTCTGAGTGCACAGCATCTCTTCCAGCTCCAGACCTAGGTCACGCACCAGTACAGGCAGAGCGGGAATCCAAGATACAGCGATAAAACTACAACTACAACCTATAAAATGAATTTGCTCCAGAAATCTATATACATAATATAATATTTTATATATATATTGATGTTACTGCCATTTTAAATTTTAAACAAACTCATTCTCAAGTCGATTCAAAATTCGCGCTCTGTGCAAATTGTTGAAGTCTGCTCACTGCATTCTCTCCCAAGGGCCACGCACCGGTGACGTGCCGCCTGCAATTGCTCCTTCAGAGCCTGGAGTCTCAAGGTCACCAACATTCACCAACTACTGCCCCTGGGTGAAGGATCTCAGGATTTTTGATGGCATTTGACTATAGTATTTGATGGCATTTGTTCGTCATTGCTACAAACAGTCACCCTTACTCAGCGTCAATTTCGTGGCATTGAAGATCAAGTCCGCTATGACATTCGCACCCTGTAGGAGCCTCGTGCTCTTCACGCGGCACCAAGCTGGTGTGCTTCAACTCAGCTTTTGGGCAAGCAAGATAACAAAGCAAAGACTCAAAGAAAGCTTCTGGGAAAGCAAAGACTTGTAATTTGCGTTAGAATACAGCCCTGGATCAGCCCTGGAGAACTGACCTTCGACACTTCACAGCCCTGGTATATTTTCTGAGCTGAGCTTTCAGACCCGTTCGGCATTGAGCTGAGCCTGGCACGCATCAAGATCCGAAACAATCGAGGATCGAGGCGCGATGGCAATGCGATGGCGCAAGGCACCTCCACCATCTTGTTGCGCTGATCTTGTTCCTTTACTTGATGTTGCCTCACAAAATGTACAAAGAACAGAATATCTAAAATCGAAAAAAAATCAAATGCGACAAACATCTCAAGGCCTAAGCCATCCGACAACCTTGCTAAGTAGTTGGCAATTTTGCTATTTCACCGTAGCTTTCCCTCTCCTGTTTCCGCAAGGCCTCAACCTGAAAACACCAACGATTCTTGCACATGTTGCAGCCCAGGCCAAGCTTTCATGGTATGCTTCCCACCTGCTTCTCTGATCTTTCCAGGTTGCTGAGGATGTCTAAGTTCCTCCAGGATCCATATGATAGTCCATATGTAACATATGTATACATATTATATATATATATACATATGTAACAACATGTAACAACATGTAACACACAAAATCTGCAAAGTAACAACAGTGTCCACTGCGTCCAAGTCGCTGTTTGTGCGACTCCTCTGCGAGCCATTTGTCCTGGACAGGTTGAACACAACTTGTGGTGCCAACGTCGTAACGTGGGAGTCTCAGAATGCACTGCCGGTTGCCCCGGTTGCCGGTCCCTGTCAGACCGGTGCTTCATGTTAGTGAAGTTCCCCTGCATGGTGGCCTGGCGCTTCTGACTCTTTTCGGCATGGACGCTGCCAATGAATACCAATGCAGAATATACATCATGTTACTCTCTATGCATATATCATATATAGGTAAATAGAAAGATAGATAGAGATAGAGATATTAGATTAGACTAGATTAGATTAGATTTAGATAGACAAACAGACAGATAGATAGATAGATGGATGGATGGATAGATAGATTGGTTTTATACACATACCTAACAAACTGGGTATGTATATTCATATATATATATATAACTGTATATATAACTATAATATGTATATATATATATGCATATATACCAATACAAATAGTACGTAGATGTATGCACATTACGATAAATCAATAAAACGTGTCAGATTGTGCCATGCCTTAATCCCTTAGAATCCATTAGAACCTGTGAAGGATGAAGAAACGGCCTTCTCCTGAGCCAATTGGTCTCGGCTCTTCTCGCACTCCTCAAGACTTTTGCCTCGAGCAATGCTAAGTTTTCATGTCCGGCCAAACATGATCCAAGATGAATTCAACATGACTCACATGAAAAATCATGAAAAGACGGTAAAGATGTCTCAAGATGTCGCAAAATGTCTCAAGCAACAGCTACACAGCTAGATACACAACGCGAAGTTGAGCTCCAGGCGGAGGCAGCGCACCTGCGCAGAGTCACTTCCCATCCCCCCGGCCGAAACATGCCGAAACATGCCGAATCTGATAGAAACTGATGGAAACGGTGAAGTTCGACTGTAAAGATTCACCTTCCCAGACTTCTCAGACTTCTCAGACTTCTCAGACCTCCTCTTGGAAACGAAGCGTTGACTCCCCGACGAAGGCAATGGTTTCCATCTGAACAAGAAAGGCGGCGCAAATTGGACTGTTTTTCGTGCTGGATTCACAAAAGATTTTGCAAAATCAAAGCAGGGAAAGTCTGCGCACGCCGCAAGATGAAACGACGCAATGGCACCACCCGGACAAACTCCTACCTTTTCCACCAGAGCATTGAAGTACAAACTTTGGCACCCGAAACTATGTGCGCTTCAGAAGTGCCCGTGCTAGACCGGCAGAGGGGCCTTGAAATCAGAAACTGTGGCCCCCATGCGCGCACAATCCCAAAAACCAGCATCGTGCAATTGCACACTTTGAGCTGGAGTCTGGTTGGAACAAAATAAGCTGGGAAATTGACATAAATAAATATGTATTTATATCTATCTATCTATCTATCTATCTATCTATCATAAATTGACTCCAGTACTTCTTGAAAGTGGGCTGCCTTCAGAAAGGCCGAAATGCGGGAGGTAGCTCAGACTCTTGTAGGAACTGCCATGATCCAAGACAGTTTCACAACGTGCTTGAGGAGCCAAGCAGCGCACCAAAAATCTCAAGGCAATCTCAAGATCTCAAATGAATTGCCTACGAAGCGGAGGTGTGGACTGAAAGCTCCGGAAGGAGTTCAATGAAGAGTCGAATAATGGCATCAACTGGCTCAGAACGACATCTCGATTCGCAGGGTCAGAAATTGTCAGGGCCACCTCCTGCACAAGATGCCCATAATTCTCAAAATTGGCGAAAAAGCCAATGCTCAATTCGGAGCAAATGTTGATGATGTTCAGCGTCACATCGCGGCCACCTTGGATGCCAAAAAACTTGTTCTCAGCTGTTGTCGCCTGTATCTTGCCAAAGGCAATCACTTTTAAATAGCTACTGTTGTGGAGCTTCAGAGTTTCAAATTCTGTAAAAGCTGTCTGCACAGCTGACGCACTTGGAGACTGAAAGACTGGAAACAATTCCTTTGGCACGGCAGGCTTCACGACCGTACCACCTTGAAAGAGCTGTGCCACATACTCGGGCTGATTTGTGGAGAAGCTGTTCAGCACAACAACCACTTCAGAGGCACCTGCTGACACTGCTTGAGCAATTCCTGTGCCGTCACTAAAGCCGCCATCGATCAAAGCGTGGAATGCAGTCTTACCAAGTTCAGACATCAAGTCGGCATCCACATGTGACTGAAGGGTGTCATACAACTCATCCGCAGCTTCAAAACCCTTGGTCCCAATCCACACTGCGACTTCTGCTGTCAGTTGTGCTGCAATCTCCGAGAAGACAAAGCCACCAATAGCAGAGCCAAAGACAGCTGAGGAAGCTGCAACAGTCTGAACCACGGGAAACGCCCCAGTGGAGTTTATCAGGCTACCGTTCGCCATATCGACGTAAAGCGCGCCAGAAGATGCCGAGCCGCAACCAAGACAGAGGCCCCGAAAGTTGAACCTTAAGCCGGACAAGCCGAACAAGCCGTACTGAATTTTCCGCTACCAAAAAACACACCAAGCACAGCCTTCAGATCTCTTGTTGAACCGAACTTCACAAAGCATGAAACTATGGCACTGCATGGTTTGTCTGCTTCAGTCTTGGCATCTTCCTTCACCAAGTTCTATTTACCGATGGCTCTGCCCTTCCGGGCAAAATGATAGCGCATAAGAATGCATAAGAAACATCTCTATCTTCAGGACACCCAAGGGGAGAAAAAAAGAAAAAAAACTTATCCGAGATATTAAATACTATGACAGAATTTCAACACACAAAAGAAGATTCCATGTCTTGTTCTGGGACCAACTGGAGGGTTGGAAAGTAGTTGAATGGACACAGTAGGTGTCGTATGATGTACAGTTACTCAGTTACTCTTGATAAATCTACGTGTAGTGTCACACATTCGCAAAGCCACAAAACTGCAAAAAATGCAATCGAGTTGCTGGATTGGTTCCTCTGGTTGCGCAATGTATGAAAGTGGTGCGGAGCTGTTGCCTGCAAACCCCAACCAACCTACTGAAAAGCGCTGGGAATCAATCCAGGCGACACAAGTTGCCAAGGTCTACCAGGATTTGAAATGTGCTTCTGATGTTGATCCTTTTGGAGGCATGCAGTTCTTCAACGCCTGCTTGCTTCAGTCAGGATTTTCAACAACAGAATAGCTTGGCACTCTGCAAATCTCTCCACCGCACTATATACCCCTGATTACCCCTGCCTGAGCCAAGTTTGATGCTGAATTTGGCTGGCAAATACGCTGGCAATACACCATCGGCAGCAGCACCGTAAGTGACCCGTGGGAAGATCAACTTTCCTGGCCGGGCAGCATCAGCGTTCCAAGATAATCTTGTTTTCTGCGCCGTCTGGGCTTGAAGACCCCCGCGACCATGTCAAGCGTGAACCTAAAATGAATTCGGTCCGATGCTCTAAATTTGCCCTGGCCTTGTCTGATGCAAGCTCCTGAAGTTGGCAGAAGCACTGTGTGGTCCACAAGCCAAGTGTGAGATGCACCAGACACAGGTGTCGATCCCATCCTTGGATCAACAAGTCTCGGTAATTGGATGACAGCTCAGCATGCGTGACCGCCTGGTGAACAAACGTGAACAAAAAGAAAATACCTTGAAAAAGCTGCTAAATACAACAGTTCAGAAGGGGTCGTGCTAGTCTCCCTCTGACCACTCAGAGCCTCACAGCAAGTACGGAGACAACAAGGCATTTGTGTCGATAGTAAGCAAATAAAAAAAAATGTCTATGTGCTGTTCTGCAGGCTGCTCGTGGGCATGCCACATCAAATTAGCCTAGCATCTGCCTATTGACGGAAATTCCTGCCGTGGACTTCAACAGGACATCCACAAAGTGGTTCCAAGAAAGGCCAGAGGCAAAGAAAAACTGCGCCAGGAAGATTGTGTCTTCATCACCGGTGCCAAGCAAAAGTTTCACCCAAAGCCGAACGAGAGATTGTATGCCATCGAACCTTGGAACTGACAAGGGCAAATTGGGAGGTTTCTTTCAGCTTTGATATGTTACAAGCTTTTGTCAGGACCATTCAGGACCATACCTCCATTTCAACGGTTGAACCGTTACTCCGACTTCTTGCCCTAGTTCTATCCTAGTTCCTGTTCCTGGTAACTGATTCCATCTATATACTGTAATTACAAATGAATGCCAACACGCTCATGATCCCCTGTCTAGATGACGTTGGGCCCCCACTACAGACAAAAGCTGGACTGAGGTAGTTATGCCTCAAATTTTCTGGAGGGTTTCAGGGCCTGGGGAGCACATCCAGCTATTGAGGGCCCCAAAACAAGCTAAAGCAAACCATTACGTGCTTAAGCTTGGAAGGCGTAAGCGATCCAGACCAAACAAAAACACTTTCACTGTGTCATGCTTTGACGTGCTGTGTTTATCCATCTACACTCGTTCCGAAGATCTCTAGTGCCCAAGCCCACTCAGAAAGCACAACAGCCTCTTCCGGTCTGGAAAGCCAAGCTGCTTTGGCTCTTGCACGTCGGTTGCGAGGAGCCAGGGTTGAATCCACTGCTGGTCAAACTGCACAGAAGCTGTGAACGGTGAGGATGCTATACCTGGTGGCACAGGCACAGGAAACCAAATGCAAACTGTAGCATAAACAACGCAAACACATATGCAAGGCCAATGCTAGCACAAGATTAATGTGGGAAAACATGGACTGGTCCAATCTGGCATTTGGGGATAGATGGGACATGTTCAACGGATGTGAAAGAGAGTAAAGACAACACAGCGACAACACGCCTTTGAGCAATTCCACAAAGCTGTTCGAGAAGAAGAGCTCAGCAGCAAACCACGAGGAGCCACTCACACTGGAGACTGTGTCGAAGTTTTGCAGCACTCGCATCACATTCAGAGTGTCCATCTTGGTCTGGTCACTGTCGCCACTCTGTTTGTAAATAGACTCATTGTGGCTTAGGTGGCTCAGGTGGCTCACCCTGGCTATTCCAGCCACAAGCCCTGCATCTGATGCCAAAGCGCGGATGCCACCACCCTGTAACGCTAATGTGACCGCTCCTGTTGGCCGCAGAAGAGCCAACAGGGCCAATCTCACGAGCAAAGCCATCAGAATCAAGATCCAGACAATGCACACGTCGTTTGGGGATGCTTCCTGCAAACATGGTTGCAATGCGCTTCTCTGGCTTTGTGGTCTTTCCGAATGTTGCTCAAAGTAAAAATAGTTTCCCTCCTATACCGCACTCTGAAAAATCTTTGCCGTGGTGTGGTTGGAGCCATGTTCCAAACCGAGATCATTCTGCGCAAATGACTACACTTTTGCATCCAAAGGCGGGTCATGTCTGTCAGGTCCAACTTTTTCTCCAGTTTTCATATCCTGCATGTTTTTGCTGTGGGAAAACGGCTGCCGCATTGGTGTTGATTTCATTTGTGCGAGTTCTCTCGGCCGACTGAACAAATCCAACATCAAAGTGACGTTAGAACACCTACATTTTCAGGCAAACGTTTGAAACGTCCAACTCTTCATGGGTCTTCCGTTCTGCTCTGGCAGACCTTTTTTTTCTTCAACACGCGCTGCCTGATGAAGACAGGAATTGAAGGCCACAGCTCGCATGAACCACTGAAATGCACGTCTAAGGAATTGTCAGGCTGAATTCTGCCTTCAAATGTCGACTCACGAGTGTGGAAACAACGCAACAATTAGCTAACCCAGTGGACCACCCTCCGTCTCCAGATTTATATACGTCCACTTTTGGGATGGCACATGCCGATGAACAATGGGCCTTGGAGACATGCAGCTGCCAAATGGCGCTCATAGTTGTCGACACAAACATAAATGTGCACATGTATACTTATGCCTGTGCGCATGCACTCAAAATGTACACACATGTACGTATGTATAACACATGCATGCACAAAGACGCACATGCATATAATATACAATAATAAATGAACTTATCATGTGCCTATGTTTAATGTATTCATAACACATCGTGTTGCAAATCTTGACACGTATAATTGTGAGATTGCATCTCCGCATATGTCATTATGTATGCATATTATTTCATCGTATACAAATACATATTTCATATATGTATATTACGTACCCATGGGTTTGTTTTCATACTCATTCATGTCCTTTCGTTTCGTTTCATTTCATTTCATTTCATTCATTCCATTTCATTATTTCGTTCATTCATTCCTTCCTTCATTCAGTCAGTCGGTCAGTCATTAATTTCATTCATTCCATTCACTCCATTCATGTCATTCACTTCATTCATGTCATTAATTTCATTCATTCATTTATTTCAGTTCATTAATTTCATTTCATCATTTAATTTCATCATTTCATTTCATGTCATTTCATTCCATTTCATTTCATTTTGTTCATTTCATGTTTTCGTGTCATTTTTTCATTTCATTGTGTTCCTTTCATTGTTTCATTTCATTACATTCATTCTTTGAATTCATTCATTCATTCATGCATTCATTCATTCATTCGTTCGTTCGTTCATTTCATTCATTCATTCATTCATTCATTTCTTTCTTTCTTTCTTTCTTTCATTCATTCATTCATTCATTCAATCATTAAATTTATCAAATCATTGACTCATTCATTTGTTTCATTCATTCCTTTCATTCAATTCATTCATTTCATTCATTTCACTCATGTCATTTTACTTCATTCATTTCCTTTTGTTCGTTCCATTTTATTTGTTCATTCATTCATTCCTTCGCTCATGGGCACAGGCCGTCATCTGCTGAACGGCTATAAAACCTCAAGGTTGGACTCGGTTTGACAAACAAATGTCGAGATTTAAATCTAAGCTAGCCATGTAGCTACTTGAGGCACACCCCCTAGCCAAATGGCACACACGTTTCGGCATACCGCAGGACTGTTCATGGGACTCAATCAAAAGGTAAGAAGCGGACTGTGCTTCAGTGGATGGCCCCATGGCAACCCTGCATTTTAGCCAACTTCATCTCCATACTACCAGTGTATTCGCCAAAAATTGTCCTATCATGTCCTATCCTCTCGTGGCACCGCTGTTCGAGTGGTCGCCATGGAAGACCATTCTTGAGTTTGCTGCCAGGGCACATCAGTCCACGACCACTTTCGTGACGGAACACAGTGTATCAGGAAATCACGGTCAGCTAAGCGCGGTGCCTGAGTGCAAGTCTGCAGTGCATTTCCTTGCAAGCGTCAAAAACGCTCAACATTTGATTTTCCCTTTTCCTCTTTAAACTAGGTTTTAATATGTTTAAAGTTCAAAGTTTACATTGTGGTTCATTATGAGTATTGTAGCAGCTATAGTATATATATATATACACTTTTCCATTTCTATTGCCCATCCGAGGACACATGAGCAATCATGCAACACTGCTTGACAACGTCTAGACTCCAGACTCCAGATCAAAATCTACAAATTGCTACCTGCACATAGATCACATAGTTTGGCAAGAAAATGACCTACCAAGGAAGGGATTGACGGCCTCCATGGTGTGGCCCTGTTAAGCTTGGGCGGCACTCAGTAGGTACTACGTACAACAAGCGGCATGGATTACAGAATAAAGAAGGTCGTTGCCTTCTGTGTGGTGCCTCAGACCGCTGCAGCACTGGGTGCTGTGAGGAAAATTAGTAGATTGAAATGTCGCACTTTTAAAAAGACACCTCTCAATCCTCTCATCGTGCAGCACAGGGGCAGAACTTTGAATCAATCCATTTGATTGTCCCGTTGAGCGCGGTCCGCAAAATTCATGTGGCAATGAGCAACCTCATCAAGCATCACCAATGCTTTGTGATTGTTCCGCTTTCCAGAAAGTCAGCCTTCACCAAATGGGCTAGTACCAATCAGGAAAGAAGCCTGAGGTGCAGTTGCATTTGCCACATGTCCTGAAAGCTTCACAAATACACAGCCGCCAAAAAGGCCAGTGTCTCGATGCCTGGGCACCCAAGAGTCAAAACTCGAGGACAAAAATACAACAACAATACAGGAAATCAATGGAAATCACAGGAAAACAAAACGAATTTGATGCGGAAATAGATCGCGATTGAACCTTTTAAGTGGTGGTTGGACCAAAATATATTGAAATATCAAGATCGTTGCAGCATCCCAGCCGAGGTTCATGAATCGTGTCATCTACTTGAATCGTCTCCCAGGCCTCATCACCAGCACCTGTCAGTGTAAGAAGCCTCAGGTCCCCGATGATTTCATTGAGACTCCATATGACAACACCAAACAGTTGCAGGGAACAATTAGGGAACAGGGAAAATGAAGGTTCAAGGAAAGCTTACACAGGTCGATCAAATCAGATAGAAATAGTGAGAAGATGTGAGAAGAAAGCGATGCTGTACTTGATACATTTGACTGACACAAGGCTACTTCATCCAGATTGTTGTCGGAGTCAGGGTCCCATAAGTGAACATGATCAAAATGAGTGTACATGAATCATCATCACTTGGCAGATAAAATTAAGATGATCAAAATGTGTCAAGAATGTCAAAGCACAGTTTAGAAAACTGGTTCGGGGCAGCGACGAAGAGTTGATCCAAGGTGCTGCTCCACTTCACAAGCAAAAAGGTTTGGATGTTTCTGATCTGCTGGAATGTCATATACTTATACATTAACTGGGGATCAAATCTGATCAAAGAGAAGTCGACTTGGCACGAGTTACCAGTAGAACACATTTCAACACATCACAAAGCAAAAGACCCCGGCGTGCTGCAAAGCATCATCACAGGAGGATGACAGGCGGGATACAAAGTCCGTCTCTTCCCCCTGCGTGCAAAGGAAATAAAGAAAGTTCTCGCGAACCAAACAGTTTGTTCAATGTGTGTAAAGTTTCAATATTTGGCATCAATACTCAAGCTCTCCATCCTCAGCCTCAAGTTTCACCTGGATGCTCTCTGATTTCTGGGCATCTAGACATTCCAAGTATCCACTCCTGCACAGTCAAAGCTTTGAAGGGCAGCACATGCCCAAGATCAAACTGTTTGCATGCTACGTGAATACTGATTGTAGCGCACAGCGTGTAAATGCATGCGATGATATGTTTTGTGTTTCGTGTCTGGGGTCTGCAAATATCATCATTCCTCTCCTCTTGTTACCCATTGAGGCAAGGCCATTTCAGACCAATTGCCAAGGCCCTGCCTGAAGCCAATTGTCAAGTCGGCTAAAACCATCAAATTGGGTCAAGAAGATTCAAAAGTTGCAAAAGCTCATGATTTCATATGATTTCATGCCAGTAGTACCGCACAAGACGGTGGCGGAAGTTTCAAAAATAGGAAACCTATAGGAGCGGTTGGTTGCTGTGAATCACGGTTGGCAGAGCGAATCCACTGATGGACCGAAAGCTGGTTGGAATGTCGAACTGCTCGTTCTCTCCGCAAACGCACGGTAAAAAAGGTTGAGTTGTTTGAGCCCAAGGGATCGTGCTAGAGCGATGTCTCACATTTTTAAGTTTTGTAAGTTACACCACAACCAAGGGTCTGTTTGCTCTGTGTCTTGTCTGTGCAAGCGTTGCCTGCTTGCTTGCTGTTGAACTGTCTAGATTCTAGATGGAAAGATGAAGAAGTAGATGGATGGGTGAAATGCTTCGGTGCTTATACAAATGAATAGAAAGGATAGCTGTATGGAGCTAGATAGATGGATAGACCACAAGACGGCAGACAGATAGAGAGACAAGGAAATGGACAGATCTCGAAAGAGAGAAGTAGAGAGAAAGATAGACAGATGGACACATAGATAGAAATAGGATGGTGGATGGACGGCTGCATAGACAGATAGAGAGCTAAGCAGATGGATGGAAAGACAGAAGAAAGAGAGATGGATAGGTTGACAGGCAGATAGATCAGCAGACAGAAAAGAAGGATAGATGGATGGATGGATAGATAGATAGATAGACAGAACCGACATCTTCAAGCAGACCGTTCGGTGACGTCAGAAAAGACAGACACGGCACGGCACAAACACGACAACACAGCTAGGAAGAACGTCTGGCATGCCGGGGTGCCGTCAGACGATTGCGAAGGAGCCAAAGCAAAATCATCTCAGCAAACCTGAAGATCTGATGCTTCAAAATGCAACCCATCTCAGGAAATCAGCGCCCGGACCTCCGAACAGCTCTGATGAACATATCTCTTGTACTGCGCCTGCCACGCGAAAGATATCTTGCCAGATCCTCTGCATATGTCCCACGCCTGCCATACCTTTAGGAAATGCTACAAACCCTCACGTTTTGCTCACTTTTGACAAGGTGCATAATCCCTGACGCCTAGCCACAAATCATTGGAAAAACACTGTGTTTCGCGGCTTTCCTACCTTTTCGCGCACCTGCATCTTCTTTCTTCTGACTCTTTTGCTTTCTCTGACTCTTCCCACCTTTGCTTTTCCATCTGTCCATATTGTCGGAAGTTTGACTTCTAAACTTCCTTGGATGATTTCTACGATTCCTATGGTTTTAGGTGGCAGCTTCTGCATGCTCTCTACGAACCCATCAAGTCAGCTGGTTTCGGCCTGCCAGGAGTCCTTAGAGGTCATCGAAGGCGGGATCTTTGGCCTCCGGCGCAGGGCCGCAGGGCTTGCGAGAACAGGACACGAACCCCAGCCATGTCCTGTGATGTCCTGCCTTGAACAAGGAGAGATAGGAGAGGAACACGGACTAGAGTGACTGGAGGATTGAGCTATGTGTGCTTGAGCCGACCAAGCTACGTGAAAGGAATGAAGACCTCACGTGACCTCACCCAACATTATGAGACGGCAGGCTGCAACTCTTGGGAGCAATTCCATCAAATTTAAATCATTCCTGAAATTCCACCAAAAAAACACTTGTAGTCTCGTAGTATTGTATTATCACAGGTCTGCTCTGCCTCTATTGTGCAGCCACGGAACAGAATGGAATTTCGTAGGCTGAATGATACAAGCCACAATACTTCGGAAAGCCGAGAAACTGCAGACACAATGCGCGCAAGATTCTGAAGGCTCTTTACGCTCCTTTTTGCAGCGCTTCAAATAGCTTATGGACAGGAAAAGGAAGGAACGACTATATAAAGTTAAAGCACGTTCTGCTTCAAAATGTGTCCATCAGAGCTTAGGACTGCCAGGTCCAAAGGAAGCATCAAAGGTTGTCATGGCTCTAATGGCTCGAACGGCTCTGGCTCTTCCTTAAGGCGACGACAATCATGACGACAGTGACCATCAGCAACCCATCAGCGACCCAAGATCAAAAGAGACATGACTGACATGACTGACATGACCCAAATGTCCACAGAACTGATATCTGCAGCGAAGGTGCGAGGTCATCAGGTTTCCCGACTTGCTGCCGGCACATTGGGCAGTCTACCTAATGGCACACGGACTTCAGCCCAGGCATGCACCACAGCTGTCCCTAGCCAATCTATGCGAACCAAATATAGATCACAAAAGATTTGCTCCCAAACACGTCCTTTCCCACAACGGTGCTGTTCCCACAGGTTGAGAGCAAGGAGCATGGTTCTTGCACCAGGTCAGGAGGCATTCCTGGAGTCATGAAATTCAATTCATGGGTTCTTTGACGCGATGTAATGGATTGCTGTGGCTCAATAGCTCGGCAGAGATAGAATGGCTGGGTCCAGTGATAGAGCCAAGAGCCAAGAGCTCTTTCTGTTTTTTCGGCAACTTCAGCAACTTGGACTATGCCTAGGGGCCTAACCCTCCGGTGGGCCTGATGGAAGTAGTGCTTGCAGGGTGCCCGCACAATCTCACCACCAGGCTCTCCAAGAACCTCTCGAAACGCCGAAAATGCTTCGAAGAAGTCGAAGCCCGAAGAAGTTGCGTTTTCTAGTCTGCCCCAGCTTTGCGCACACAAGCGCATGCCAACCTACGCCAATCTATGCCCACCTACGCCGATTCATAATGCATTGACTGCTCTATTCTTTCTTACACTTTCCAACGCGGAGTGACCTCCATACAAATGGAGCATTCCATGACCTGGCCATCTTCAGCATCAATCCTCGAATGAGATTCGTTTGGACGGAGGGAAAACATGAATGAAAAAACAACACAAAAAATATTGGAGTGCTGCGCAGCTGCCTCATTGTATCTTTTGCCAAAATCAAGCAAACACATTATGTCACATTCCGGGATTTGCTGGGCATCTGAAGGCTTTGAAGCGACTCTCCAACCCCTCTTTGTTTTTCCCTCTGAGTTTCAGCTCTTCAGAGCCCTTCTCCACTATCGGCAGCTCCTTGACCTGGACATGGAGAAGTTTGTACTGCCAAATGTGGACAACATAACTTCAGTATGTTGATGACTTTGGGTTATGTACATCAGTGTCAGCCTATGGTAAACCGGTGTTTCTCCTTACAGTTCTACAAAAATTGGGATCCCAAACCATCCCGAACATTGCTTCGAGGGGGGACATTACCAGAGGATTTGGAGCGTGACCAGCTGCTGAAGGTTGACACACTTGACACCCACAATGTGCTTCCAAGTTGCTGCTTTTGTGCACCCGGGCTGCTCATTCAGCTGGTTGACCACCAGCAGAAGATATCGCAAGCTAAACAAGCCTCATGATGATGAGCATGATTGAAAGAGTATTGAAAGAGTATTTCAAGGAGCCAAGGCAGAAGGAATGCGCTCTCATTTTCTTTTCAACCAAGTGGCCCAGAATGGAAAGAAAACATGTCACCACTGCAACCGCAATCCTCAGCGTCAGAAAGCCACCGCAATCAACTTCTGTGAAGGATTGCCGGCACTTCTTTAAGTGTTTCTTCCGGTCCAGCTGAGTCTAATTCAACCAAGTTCAACCAAGTTGCTGAGCGTAAACAAACCGCTCCAACGGAAAGAATAAATCTGGGTTCCTTAAAACTTCATGGTTGGCCAGTGCCAAAAATCGAACACTCCAAGAATCTCCAAGCAATAGCACTGCAAATGTGCAAATGTATCAACAATATCTTTCTAGATAATGGATCCTGGCTTGGGGTGTCATAGAGGTCATACTCTAGCCATTCTAGTTGCCAAGTCGCGTCTCTCGACATGTCTTGGCACTTTGCACCATGTATACCTTGGTGCGAGCACCGCAAATCATCTGCATAAGATGTCTACAGGGGCCTTCTGCTTTTCGACAAGCCACGCCATATACCAAAATTCCCCATCCTCCAGGGGTGAGCGTCTGAGGTGCAGTGAACAGAAGATAGAAAAATCAAGCACGCAAATTCTGCAAAGCGATTGGCTGATGACAAGCCTGTGACACAGATTCTGGAGTCAAAGCATTGATCGTTTTTTCTTACAGTAATCTTTGCCAGTTTTGGACCGTTTTGGACTGTTCGGAACAGCCCCGTCCTGGCAGGCTAAAAACTATGCTAACCTCGCAATGTGGGAAGACAGCATCTTCCAAGGCCACTTGGAATCTACTGGGATCCAGCTCTGTTAATTATGTTCCTCATTGTTCCTCATTGTTCCTCATTGTTCCTCATTATGTTCTGTTCAGTTGTTGCAAGCCTTCTTGTATTCTTGCATTTGCGTTTCTCACACCTGTTTCTCATCACGCTTCTATTATCTTCTATTCATGTCTGAGGTTTATTTGGCAACAGCTGCTTTTCATCCAAATAGTTCAAACAGCGACAGGGGACCAGCAGCGACAAGCCAGGCCCTCGCTCCGGCAGCCAGTAGCTGGCAAAGGAAGAACCCCAGGAAGGCACCTGCAGCCAGGTGATTTGGGAAACCCATGTGAATCATGTGACTGAAAGATTTTGAGACAATGGCTTTGGCTGCTCGAACCTCGCAAATTATTGCATATACAATCTCCGGCGCATATGATTTTGCAGCATTGAACCGAGAACGGAGTCCCGGGAACCAGAACAACAAAATTACGCGTGTGTGACGAAACAAAGTGCAATAGCAAAGCCCACCTGGCTCCATAACAATGTGGCAATCATGTAGTATTTCAACGGCTGATCACACGGCTTGTCCTCGCCCATTCCAAGAGCAATGATCGTTGGACACAAAATATGGAGCACCGCTGCGTCATGAACAAAACATGTTTCATGGATCTCATGGCATACATTTCAAGGTGCATGCCCTACGCCGTATATGAGATTTGACGATATGAGTTCTGACTAGTCATGACCTCACATCTAATTTGTTATACATGACCCACGCATAAAATTCCTCCAAATGGTCAGTAAGGTCATTACGACCCATGTTTGCCAAGTAAGATCAAGTAAGGTCCATGTCATGTACTTTTTGCAGGCATATGGTGTGTATATATATATATGTGTGTGTGTGTATCTATGTCCTCATATTCTTGCCAATAGAAGTTCCTTACAAAAGAATGGCGCTTGGAGTGTTTGTCTCTGGGATCTCCTGGTTGAAGATAGTGGCTATAATTGCTTGCACCTTAGGCAATGACAGGCACACATCAGAGTACTGATGATCCATATTTTTTGGAAAAAAAACTGTCAATGACTGATCTTCACTCTAGAAAAACCGAGGCCTTGCACGAACAGAATTGTGACTGCCAATGCAGCTGCAATCATCAGCATCACCAAAAGGACCAACCAAACCTGCACAGGCACCAACTCCGCACCAAGCTCCCAAGATGTGGTAAACAAGACTTGTACCGCACAGCCACGTTCCACACCACCTGGCCTTGCACAAGCTTACGATGCTCATAAACCTAGGCAAACATATCTCCATGTTTGTCTCCCTCTATTTCGATTACTTTCGATTACTGATTACTGTTTCTCTACAGTTCCAGGCAACTCGCAACATGACTTGCATTAGCCCTCTACAAAGGAAAGGACACAACTTAACACACAAAAAAATGATCTTCCCATACCTTGTCCAATTTTTTCATCAACTCACTACATTAATACCGCCCGAATGCTGCAACAACTTTGTTGAATCCAAGCAGCTCCATCACCAAACGCTGCTGCACTTGTTCTGCCGCATCCTCGGGTGTTATTGATTTTCAATGACTTTCATTCAACATAGATAAACATAAATAAACATGTTCTAACGATTCTGGCCGCTTGACTGCGACATCCCTTTGTCTGCCATGCTGGGTGCCTAAAAATGCATCGGCTGGCTGCATAGCCTTGTGCCAAGCAACCTGTCGACGCCTTCTGTCTTGGAGCAGCGGCGTCTGTTCTGTGACTTCCGCTTGCACTGGAGGCAAAACAGCAGCGCCGCCAGTGAATGCAGCAGAAGTGGCTTGCAGCAACCTGACAGAGCTGACAGCTACCACCAGCATGAAACAAAATTGGGTGTTGTGGGTGTGCAATGCCTGACATTTCTACCGTCTCCAGGGATGACTAAGTCGAGATCCTTGTGGAGCTGGTTGAGTTGACAGAGTTTGAACGCAGCAGCTGGGGACCACTTGGAGGCGCTGGAGGCATACCGGGTCCACCTGACCTCAGTTGCTCGTGGTACGGTAAGGAAGACAAGAAGCTACAAGAAGACATGGCCAAAGCGGCATGACTCACATGAGGATATCGATATTTGACTCTTTGTGATTTTGTCTCACTTCCCAGGGTGCGCAACCACCAGTTGCGATCCAGTCACATGCTCCGCACCTACCGCCTTGCTAGCGCTACATTCGGTTCACTACCGGCTATCTACTTGGATCTACTTGATGCTCAAGATTTGTTCTGCGGAAAGGAACCTTCAGGCTCCGCTCGAAGCACTGTAGACAGAAATGGAACCAGAAAGAAAGTCCGAGTTCAAAACTCACAACATATCTGAGAAAAAAACATAAACAACACTTATGCTCGGATTACCTGCCTTTGTAGTTTTTAACCGCCCTTCCGCATTCAGCAGGTCTCTGACTTGTTCCTGGCAAGTTGCCACGAGACTGCAAGCTTCGAGCACCATGCGAACAAAGTATAATGCAAAGCACAAACATTGTCATTTCCTGCGCTTTTCGTGCAGTCCTGCAATTTGTCGATGAAATCATCTACCCTGCCGCCAGTTATCTGTGGCGTGCAACTCGACATGTCAAAGAGAATATTGGTATAAAATTAAAAACCTTCGCATGCAAAATCTACCAAGGGTGGTGCTCTCGCTGGTAGGAATAGAACAACCTGGCAAAAATCGCAAAGCTTTCCCTGACAAACCCGTCCCGTGTCGTTTGATGGCTCACTCAACATGCACCCTGATGTCAGCCGGGTCATTGCAGTTCACTAATACAGAGCCAGTTTTTCGGACGGTACTCCGGAAGCAATTCTATGGCCCTGCCTGGATGGGCACAAAGCTTTTACATCTGACATCATCTGATACCATCTCACACACTGCACAATTTGAGTTGCTTAGATGGTCTTCAATGAGGCTGAGATCAGATTGTCGTAGAAGTTCAGATGGCAAGTTTACAGACCTCCCCACTTCTGCTCTGAGGCCAATGCCAAATGCTTCAGTCAATATTCGCACCCTGTCCTGCTGAGGGACCTCATTGCACTATGCGTCATGAGTCATAAATATAAATATAAATATAAATATAAATACAAATATAAATATAAATATAAATACAAATAAATATATATATATATATGTGCGTGTACACGATAGAAATTCATCAGCGCTGACTTTTTATCTGATCCGGCTGTGTCACCGCTTCCTTTCATTTGCAGGTTAAAGGGTTGTGTGATATGCCACAAGACGATGCCCCAAGCAGTACACATGTTGAAGCTGCAGCCCTCCTTCCGTGAATAGGTGCCAGCATCAAAGTTTGATCAAATCTGATATCACTGATATCAACTGATATCCAAGTTTGTGACAGGCCCAGCTTGACCCAAAGTTTGCAATTCTCGTTCGACCTCATACGTTTCGGGTCTTTACGAGGAGAGCGAAAGCTGAAAGAGAAGTTGAGAACGAATAAGGCAGCTGCCCAAGCGGTAATCCTTGTCAAAGCAAACGACATAAAGAACAAAATTCGTTCATGAATATGGAATGTCACGACAGTATACGGCAGTTGCAAAAGCCCCCATCAGTAATTCAATTCACAATATTTATATAACAATATGAGTCGGCTGACAACCATGGCAACTTGGTCAAAACCGAAAAACCGTCATAAAGGAATACGGGGATCAAGCAGGAATGAAGATTAACAGAGGATCTGGCTGCGCCGCTCCCGACCTTGCCAGATCCACAAGGCCCGTTCATCATGCGATTTCTTTGCCCAGGAGCGGTTTGCGCTCACAGCCGAGCCCCAGACCACAGTCTGCTTTGTGCCTCACCGATTTCACATAATGACAACATGACAACTTGGCAATATATATATATAATTGTATATACATACCGTATATATGTGATAAGGATGGGGCATTATTCAACAACAACATTCGACACAAGCCTCTGCAGGAGTCCTTTCGCCCCTGGTCATTGCATGTTTTTGCCGTCATGTTGCATGTTCGTTCGTTTAAAGTTGTGCAGCAGAAGTGTCCACCCCGCTGTGCTATTTATGGCCGCACCTTGCTGATCCAAGCTGAGATCCTGCTACCTCATGTGCCACTGGAGGTTTCGAGTGCATAAACAAAATCGAGCGAAACAAAGTAAGAGCTTCATAATTTAATAAAAATACTAAGAACCCTTGCCTGTGCAAATGGACTGCGACCGGACCTTGCACTTAAATTGTTGCGTTTCTGTGGCCTCACCGCTTCAAGTTTCGTGACAGTTCTCTCAAGCACGTCAAAACAAATGCAAAGCGAAGAACAAAATCAAACGCTGAGAAAGAGACACATGGCACACCTTCAGAACCAACCAAGGTTCCAAAAATATGTTCCATCTTGTCAGATCTTGTCAGTTTCTTTTTGGTACCAGTTTCCACTGAGTTCCCTGCGCCAGGATTTGACGACCAACAGGCATCACCAGGTCCTCATGGGAAGCATAGTACGCACCACCACGATCCATGCCATATAGGGCCATATCATATCGTCGAATTTTCCAGCGATTTCGTTTACAGTAATTTCATCAACATGGACCCGCGGACCCGTGGGGATGCTGAGGCCAAAACCTAATGACATGGCCGTTTCCCAGGGCCGGTCCTGCAATGCAAAAGCAAAGAAAAAGTAGTTGCCTTTAGTGAGCGCCAACGCCAGCAAAGGAACCAATTTGCAGCCTGCGGCACCACCCCAACAACGTCGGCCAAAGTCTTTCGGACAGGTATTTTGCCTCAATCCCACAATATGTAAAAAATAAAATGAAGGCAAACACGATTCAATTTCGGCAAATTTCATTTTGCACGTATGGAGAAAACCACTATTTGAGCCGGAGCACATGCCATGAAGGTTGGAGCACCAAGACCTTCGACAACACAAAAACCGGGAATCAAAAGTTTGAAGAAAATGATTTCGCCTGACGTAATCGGAGCATCGCGTCCCGACCATTCCACCCTAAGCTGAAATGCAGCAGAATGCACAAGGAATTTTTGACCATGCGCGCTTGCAATCGCAAACGTCAACATTATATCCTCGCAATGCCCACCATCCGCATCAACCCATCACCACATTACACAAAGTTTGAAGGCGCTTCGCACACATCTATGCACCGGCATTTTTGTTTCAATGACGGGAGTTCTGGTCTTGGGACATGTCCGTCTCTAATGCTCGGGATTTGGGTCCAAATACGAGAAATTGAAATCAAGGTTGCTCGCGCTCAGTCAATTTATTTTTCCCTCCTTCAATGTGTCCAGTTTGCGCAGCATAAGTTTTTTGTGCAGCACAATTATCGATCGAATTTGACATTGCTGTTTTTTGGCGTTTCGCCAAAATAAAAAAATATGTTGTTTAATTTCGCTCTGTCATGTTCTTCCCTGTTCCGTCACCCTGTTTTGATTGGATACCCCGCAGCTTTCACTAAGTCCAAAAAGATTAGGTGAAAGAAAACAGAAACGCTTGATTGATGTTTTTTTTCTCGCACTCCTTTTTCCGCGCAAGTCTATGGTCCCCCAAAAAGTTTGAGGGGTGGACTGTTTTTATACTGGCCAGTCTCCAGATGCGCAAAGTCAAGAGAAGTCCAAGGGGATGGGCCACAAGTCCAGGCCACTGGGGGCCCCTAAGGGGCGAGCCTGGACGCGTCCGCCAGGACTTCACTGATGGGGGGAGCCTCCCCATCTGGTGGACAGGTGTCGGTGTGTACATCCATGTCCAATGATGCCGCGAAGGCGATGTGCCGCGTGGGCGAGAAGAGCCGACCAACGAGAAACAAGGGCTGGGGCCGCTGTTTGCTGGAGGGTGGCCGGGGCAGCACGTGCTCGCGCACGAGCTAGGAGGCGCAGGAATGTGGCCGCTTCACTGCTGAATCTGCCTCCGATTTCTATGGCCAGCACAATGAGCCGGCATCTTTGTGCATTGACCAGCTCTGGGTAGTTGCGCTCCTTGGATCGGCGGGCCTGGGCCAGGGCCGCGCCGGTGAAAACTCCCTGTCGACGGCGGGGTTGGCTGCTGGAAGTGAGGGGTGAAACCAATGTGGTGTCGACTGCGAGTTGGGCTCCTTGGAAGAGGGGAAGCCCATTGACGATGACCTCTATGCGCCGATTGTCAACACGGCTCACCGAAGGGATGTTCAGGTGTGAGAGGTGGTGACCCGTGCGCCCGCTTCTCGGCACAACCCAACGGACTTCCTCTTTCACGAAGTGCTCCAGACCGAGGGCATGCTGCACGGTGGTCGCCTAGAGGGCCGAGGACGCGACGGCACCGGCAGTGACGCTCTGTGAGGGGCAGCGGCAAACGGAGACGGCGAAGGAGCAAAAGCCGAAACAGATGGGAAGGGTAATGAAACTCAGGTGAAAATAGAATTGTTGTGAAAGTACGGCTAGTGAAGGGTCCAGACTGGGACGCCATCATGGCTTGACTGGCACTGTCGAGCGTAGCGAGGAATTCCGCTGTCATGGCGTTGTGGGTGGCTGTGACCGCGGGTTGTTGCCATCCTCTGCGGGTGGTGGGTGGGCCCTCCTCATGTGGTGCTGGGGGTGGCAATTGGTTGTTGTGGGGGAGGTCCGCCAGCTGTGGGGGTGACCAACCCTGTTGGTGCAAGTCGTGTGCTGCTTGGAGGGACGGCGGGGTTTGGGTGGGGTCATGGAGCCCCGCTTCGAGTCTGGCGGCTATGTGGGTGGCTTGGCGGGTGATGGTCGGGAGTGTGCCGGCCCATGATGCCCAAAAGGCTGCTGTGGCAGATAGCAAGCCGAGGCCTCCCTGTGCCAAAGGTAAGTGTGCTCGTGCGAGCGCTGGAGCAGGGAGCGGTCCACATTGCAGCAGTGCTGTGAGAGCCAGGGAAACGGCCAGATCATGGTCTTGCGCAAATGCCGTCACTGAGGGCGGAGGCAAATTTCGAAGGAGATAGTTGGCCCGGGGGAGGCACAAAAGAGCAAGAGTAGCCAAGATGCTTGCAAATCCTCCAGGTCAGGGAGGCGTTGGAGCAGGGTGGTGTGGGTTGCCGTGACGTCTTGAAGTTGGCAGCGGACATATTCCGGATTTGATGCCTCGACTGGCTGGCGCGACTGCAATGTCTCCGGCCCACGTGTTTGGGGGGAAGTCACAGCTGTTGGGTGGCGGGAGGCCGCTGGCATTCCAAATGCGGGTTTTGCCCTGGTGAAGTTGGATGTGCGCATGGGTGGCCAAATTGTGGGTCAGGGAATTCAGCACTGGCACGACTCTGGAAGCAGGAACTACTGCATAGACATCGTCGAGGAACTGGAGTTGCTGCTGCACTGCGGACAATGCGGAATGTTGACCCAAACAGAACAAGGCCGGCATTAACGGATCACCTTGCTCGCCCCCTTCTCCTTGGTGTACGAGATGGGCGTGCCCCGGGCGAGGCACTCGGCAACTTGGACAAAGCGTGTGGTGGCTTCTTCATCATCGAGAACGAAGCGCAAGGCTTCCTCTGTTAAGCCGGATGGGCCTGGGGCCGCCCCCCGGCGGGTCCTACGAAGGAGGGAAATGAGAAGGTGCCGCTGGATGTGAAGTGGGTCATCCGGTTCGAAATTGGTGATGGCTGGGTCTGGCTCGTGGTATGGTTGTTGTGGGCGGCGGTCAGGATTGTGGAGTTCAGCAAGGGTGTGCTCCGTGCCGGGTGCCAAGGGGCCTGAGAGCAGGGCCTGGCGTGCCGCTGATAACTCGCCAAGGTGAACAAGGCCTCGGGCTCGACTGGCTTGCTGTTGGGGGGTTGGCGGCGTCATGGGGGGGGGGCGGGGCGGAACTGGCTTGGGTGGCTGCCTGGTGCAGAAGTGCTGTCCACTGTCCGGCTTCGAACTGCGCGAAGCGCGCTCGCCAGACCGGTTTGGGGAGGGTCCGGACGCCACACTGCCAGTGTAGGAGCATGCGAGGGAGGAGGCACCAGAGTTTCCAAGCTCGAAGGTTGTCTTCCTCGGTGTTGGCCGCTAGGATGGTTCCTAGAGCCGTGGACAAAGCTGTTCTGAAGAGACCTCGTAGGAAAGAAGGTGGCTGTTTGTATTTGAAGCACTTTTGCTGGAGCACGGCGTGGGCATCAATGGAATCCAAGGAGGCGAGTGCTTGACGATGCCGCCGTTCGATTGTGCTTGGGTTTGCTTGCATGCCGGGCTGGGGTGCATCCTCTGCTGGACGGTCGGCGGTAGGGATGGAGCTGGAGCTGGCTGTGGCGGACGTGGTGGTGCTTGACGAGTCACTTTCACTTGCGTTGCTGCGGGGCGTTGGCGGGGGTGATGCCGGCGGCCCCTCGGCGGCGACTCCGTTGGCTGGATGGGGGGTAGGTTCCGCAGGGCCTGGATTCCGTGCGAGAGAGTGCCATTGCTGTGCCAAAGTTGCCGCGGCGGAAGCCTGTTGTTCGCCCAAGAACGCTTGCAGGAGTGCTTCTTGGGCGGTTGCTGGGATGTACCCACCTGGTTGTTGGCAAAGCTCGACTGCCCATGGTAGGTGCACGAGAGTGCCACTGGGTTGGGTGGAGCCGGCGGCTCGTAGGGCGGCTGGGAGATTGTTTTCCGCGGCCGCAAGGCGTTGGCCCGAGGCTGTGGCGATGTCTTGCAGTGTGGCGAGTATGTGCTGCAGCAATTGCCATGGGATAGGCGCTGCTGTTTGTAGCTGCATCACCAGGCGATGCCATGCCTGCCCTGTGTTGGTGGTTTGTTGCCATGCAGCGGTTGCCTCGGGCTGCAAGCGGTTGGTGCCGGCCAGGAGCAGGAGGACGTAGAACCAACTGTGGGTCGGGTGCACGGTGTGTCGCCCTTCGGGGGGCCCTTGGTGAGTCCATAGTTGATTGGTGCTGGCAGTGTGCTGGCCGTTGGCTGGACACTGCCGGGTTGTGTCGGCAAGGGCGTCGGGCTGCATGTGGCACTTGGATGCACTTGGGTGGCTGCACGCCCACCAACGGGTATGGTTTGGCAAATTGAGGTGTAGTGTTCGGCCACCGTGGTCTGGGCAGTGTGGTTGCTCGGGCACGTGTTGGAGCAATGGGTGGTCAGGCCGGACCGTGGCAGAGCACCGGAGGCACACCCATTTGGGGAGCCATGTGTTGGAGGGCGGGTGGTGGACGGGTGCCCATGCCATCTGGCGGTCTGGGAGTTCTTGCCATGCTGTGTCCTCTTCGGGCCGGCTTGGGTTGACGAGGAGGAGGCGGGGTCAGCATCCCGGGTGGATGTGAGCAGGGGCTGGCGGGGGTTGCCGGTGTCGGCTTTGTGTGTCCACCGTTGGCAAGCGGGCTGGAAGATCTACCCCGTGATGTTGGCATTGGCCAGTGAACTCGAGGTCCGAGGTATGCTCCCACGGGTGTCGGCAAGTGGGGCATGGGGGGCGAGACTGCTGGACAACCAGGTGTGCGGCACAGCCGGTGTGCTGTTCTACGTGACTGCCACTAAGACTAACGCTAGCGCGCGGGGAGACAGGGAGAGCGGCAGGATGCGATCGCGGGGCCTACGCGGAAACTTAACCAAAGAGACGCGGACCAAACCACACAACTCAAACTGAGAAAGTGCAAGCCAGGTTCAAACGACCAAAGTTGAAACACATCTCACAAGACATCACTGAAATGCAAAGACCACATGCGGAAATGAATGAATCGGTCTCCAGGCATTTTCTGCGACGCATGGATTGGATCTCGATATTGTCTGAAGCAGGTGCCTGGAAATGATTCCCTGGCATTCGGCCATAATGTCCCATGTAAGCATGGCAGCGAGTCAAAAGTCCCCCTCAGCAGTTGCGTACCATTGTCATTGCCCAACGATGCAATGATTTCAAACCATGAGTTGCCCAAGTAATCCAGCTATCCAACGGCGCCCGCGTAGTTGCAAATACAACAGCGGGAAATGGAACATCGTGCTCCTCGAGCTAGTAATCCAGCATACAAGTCACAATGTCCTCAGGGTGAATAAAGAAACCAGAGCTCAAACAGAAAACATCGTCTCCTTAAAATCAAACTTGGCTCATCTAGTTCTGTGAGGTTTCAGTACATGCAGTCGTGCACATCACAGCCACTGACATGATAAACTGATACCTGATGCACTGAGTTCTGTGTAATGTCACCGACTGCCATCATAAACGAAACCGTCACTGACGTGACTCCAGCTGTGCTTGCACTAAAACTGACGCTGAATGCTCCCATAATGGGTGGGAGGGTGTGGTATCAGAAAATTTGACAACTCCTAGGTCCTCAGCCTTATCTGCACATGGATGGGAAATGACGGACCGGTACAGCTGAGCGATGTGAGAGTGCTGAAGCCCAGCAAAAATTTGAATACATTGATCTGACAAGATCCCCTGGAAAATGATTTCTCATCTCTGAAGATTGTTCAATAAAATTTTGACATGCCTCGACTGAACATGTCCGCATCTCCAAATGATTCTGCTCAAATGAAATCACTGAAATTGGAAACTGAAAATAAACGCCGACGAAAAGGAAGTCATTCCGAGTCCGCCACTCAAACTGAAACTTCCGCAAAGCAAGAAGAGAGACAATTGACCAGAGAGACAAGCAACCAGGAAGGGCCCCGAAAAGGAAGCCAGCCAGAAGCAGGCAGTAGGAGACACAGACGCTGACACCGAAAGAGGGGAAGCACCAGCACCCTGGGGAAAGAAGCGGGCAACAAGCACCCGGCCCTCCCTCCCAGCAGCCCCTGCGAACAGTCACCAAAAGGGGACCTTTAGGACCCTGTTCTACGTGACTGCCACTAAGACTAACGCTAGCGCGCGGGGAGACAGGGAGAGCGGCAGGATGCGATCGCGGGGCCTACGCGGAAACTTAACCAAAGAGACGCGAACCAAACCACACAACTCAAACTGAGAAAGCGCAAGCCAGGTTCAAACGACCAAAGTTGAAACACATCTCACAAGACATCACTGAAATGCAAAGACCACATGCGGAAATGAATGAATCGGTCTCCAGGCATTTTCTGCGACGCATGGATTGGATCTCGATATTGTCTGAAGCAGGTGCCTGGAAATGATTCCCTGGCATTCGGCCATAATGTCCCATGTAAGCATGGCAGCGAGTCAAAAGTCCCCATGCAAAGCCGAGCTGACACTTACTGTCTCACCATTTCGTTTTCTCCTTGTTGGTTCTGACCTCCTCCGGCCTCAACGGCCAGCTTTTCAAACCATCGCGGTCCAGGAACTCATCTCTGACCGCCCACAACTGAAGTAGCAAATTTAAATCTAAATCACCAAACGAAATACACCTTTGTTTCTCTGCCGGAAATCTCTCAGTCCTATGGTTCGTGAGGTCATCCGCCTCCTGATTCTCATCCCTGGGCCTCCAACGGAGCGTCAACTGAAGATTGGCCCGGCACAAGTGGTGCGACAGCCGCATATTGATCAACATGAGCGGCCACGCTGTCGATGAACGCTTGAGAGATAAGTGTTGGTTGGACTTGTTGTCCGTTCCAGCAGCAATTGCAATTGGAAAAACCTTACGCGTCTTCCCTGCAGCAAAGTATCCAAAAATTTGCAAAGCAGCCATAGAGGCCATGAGTTCGGCCGACGCTGACGCCCAGCTTGACTCCCCTTTCTCATCAAATAGGAAGGGGGCTTCATGTGGGCCCAAGTCCAAAATGAACCATTCCTGAGTCTTCAAATGATGACCAGCCAAAACCACCCGCCCAGGTTCGCACTTCGCATCAGTGCGGAACTCCTCATGCCAACTCCTGAGCGGTTTGGAGCTGCTCAGGTGCCTCGAAAGGGCCCCCAGCTGAGAAAGCAAGTGTTTGACGACCAGCTTCACCATACGAGGGGCCTTGGCAACGCAGGACTTGTCAAGGGCCGCACTCCAACTGTAAAGAGGCGCAAGGTGCGGCTTGATCCAAATCAAAATTCTTGCCACGAAGCCCAAACGGCCCAGGAACTCATGAAAATCTCGCATTGCAACCGTGTAATTCTTCCTCTCCAAATCCTCCATGAATTCTCTGAGCCAAGACGCCCTCTTCTGAGAGATTCCAATAGTCTTGTCAAAGTAGTTCAGCTCATAGCCGACGAAGGGCATTTCCACACCGCCCTTGAACTTGTGATATCCAAACGGCGTGCCCAAAATCTCGTATGTGGCCACCATCATCCACAGCCAAACAAATTTGTCACGGCCCCATACCAGCATGTGTAAATCATCCACGTAAACAATCTGAAGATTGGGAGCCCGCCGTAGTACCCAAGTGACCATTCGGCCAACTAATCCAAAAAGCCTTGTCCACCAATAAGACGCAGAGCTAACTCCAAACGTCCCAACGCGATTGACCCATAGAACAGGCGACTGCGAATGCGCCCGGCAGCAAAGCAGTCTCCAATCTGCCTTGCGAATTTTCACCAACCTGTGAGCCGATGCAATGTCGGCTGACATAGCGAAGCGTGCCTCGCCAGACAACCTTGCTGATTCCACCAGCGCTGCAGCATCACCTGGGCCAGGGTACTGTAACTGATCCTGCTACCTTATGGCATTGTTGACCTGCACGTGGTGTGCAGCATCATGCAACGGCCGCACTCCGCCGTTCGGCTTTTCAAGCGCCCCCATTGGTGCGATGAGGATCTTTTCTCCAGGGTATTGTGATTGCAATGCCCCCAAAGTTGTAGGGAACATTCTACCAAGCGCTTCCTCTTCACGAAACTGCTGCTCCAACTTGTCAGCCAGCGCATCAGCAGATTTGTAGTTAGCCGAATCCTCCATGAATATGGATTCGTCAAGGCGCTTGTTCCTCTCTTTTGGGGGGAAGACAGCCGCTACCCGTGGCAAAGGAGTATTGTAACCCACAGGCACCCCGGTGGCAAAGCACTCCTGATCTTCTGTCAAGATGCGCCAATCTGGATCACCCAGCAACTGCAATGTCTGGGACAAAAGCTCCAAGAAAAATGGTTGACCCTCTGCCTTCTCCAGTGCCTTTTCCGGTCTTGGTAAGCATGCCGCCCATTTCCGTCTGACTTCCAGAAGCGCGTCCTCACCGAAAGGGGACTTGTCCAGTCTGCCAAGTGCCAATTGGAAAGCTGATGACCTAACATCAGGAATATTCTCTGCCACAATTTCGCACCATCACATGCAAGCGCTCGGCCAATGCTCCAGCTTCGGGCTCCTCGAAGACAAAGCGGTCCGAAGGCCACCAACGGTTTGGTGAGCAAAGTCCCAGCCCGTCGACCAGGTAAGATTGGTTTAAATCCCAGTCTGCAACGATCGGCCTGCCAGAGCAAATTGTTGAACAGCCATCTTCCATAGCCTGTTGTTGTTCCAGGCAGACAGGGGAAGCCATTGAACTTGAGCACGAGGAGGAACCAGAACAAGTTGAGGCGGAAGTGCCGGGGGCTCAAAGAAGGGGAGCCCATGGCCACTTCAACCTGTCTGTTGTTGTCGAGTGTCTCCCCCTTTCGAAGCGAGACAGCATCAAGGAGGCCAGATACCGGCACAGTTTGGAAGGGTAAGCCGCAGAAGGTGATGTATTCCAAATCCCATTGGTTTTGCCTACCAGTTTCTTGACATGAAATCGGTGACCGCAAGAATTTGGCAGTGGGCCTGAATAGAAACCTGCATCGTCAAAAGACGGCCAAGCTGAATGCGGGAAGTCCTCGCTGATATTCGCCAAGAATCTAGTGGGCTTTTGAGAATCACCGCCAAAATGGCATTGGTAGATAGCCCATGTCATTGCCATCGTCTTTTTGCAGAGGTCCTGAATTTCTTCCCACTGCCAGATGCTACCTGGTGAGTCTTCTGTGTCGCGCACCCTTCCCAAATCTTCTGGATGTTCCCAAAAATAAAACTTTCCAGCCTTGTACGCAGTCAGTGCCATGCGTTTGCATTGTAAAATAAAGAAATTGTGCTGCTTCAGGGTCTCTTTATTCAAATTGGATGCCCAAGGAAAACCATAGGGCCATTGTCGTGACCTGATTGGTCTTGGTCCTGGTGATTTCCGCCACAAGTGTCGTGCCCGGCTAAAAGTGTTGCAAGGTAGGGAGAGGAAAACACAATCCCATTCGCCTTCTGCCACTTCAGTGAAAAATTTGTTCCAGATGTCTTCACCTGAAAGATCGTCCTCGCTGCTTCGAGCGATATCCACTTCTCTTACATGCACTGTACATCCAAACCTGGGCGCCAAACGCAACAGCCAAGCTTTGAGGTCTGCCTTCCTTGGCACACCACAAAAGAGGTATAGAACTCGGAAAACTTTGGTCTTGTGACCTTCGGTCTGGCTTGGCGGTGGTAGTCACTCAGCACCACCTCCAACCGGCTTGTTCGGTGACTTGGAGCGGCTTTTGGACTGGAGGTGATGTTCTCTTGCACTATGCTGACCGAAGCATCCCTTGACTCTGCAACAATGTACTCTGCCACACTTGCTCGAGCATCCCTGAGCATTGAATGCATAGCAGATGTCACGGCCGCCTGGCGTCTGTGAGACCAAAGCTGTTTCGCCCTTAAAGCCAGATTTGCCCTTCCCCTTGCGGTTGCTCTTCCCTTTGCCAAACTTGCCTTTGCCATTTCCATAGGTGAAGGAAGGTGTGTTCTGGCCCTTTCCTCCGATCCTCTGGAACTTGGATGGCGTTTCGTGGGATGCCAATGTCAAAGGTGTGACAAAGAAGGATTCCTTGAGTTCTGAATCCTTCACAACCGCTGCCAGCGCCTCCTTCAATGTGGCCTCACCTTGTGCGACCTTCTTGAACGCCTCTCTCCGCAGCTTGTACTCGTAGTCCAGAACTATGCTCCAAGGGGGGCGCAAAGGCTGTTGTGAACCATTGATGGAGGTCTTGATTCCAAGCACTCGTTCCCCCAACACATATTCCACAAAGTGGGTAAAATCAGACAGTTTCAAATCTTGGAGCCATGACTTGCTCTTGAACTTCGCCGCCAAGCATAGCCAAGTGATGCCTTCGATCTTCATCAATCGGCGCTAGTCTTCGGTTGATTCAGGGAGTTGGCGTATGCATTCTGCACCGCCTTCAACATCGCTTGCCTCTCTGAGTGCTGGAGGATACGTGGTGTCCCTAAGACTTTGGATTCAGCAAACAGTTCTTTCGCTTTTGCCGCTAAATCCTTTGCCAAGTTCCAAGCTGAGACCAGTTTAGCCACGTTGGCACGGGCTTCGGCTGAAGCTGAAGGGTCTAAGGCAAAATCTGACTGTGCAGCTGTTCTGATATCCCCTGCAAAATCACCCATGGCAGCAAAAACTTTCAACGAAGTGTAATGTCTAACCAATCGGTATTGGACATCTAAGGGGGCGGAGCTGTCGTCCAACACATATTGCAGGTCAGCCGCAGCATGAGAAGAGATGTACTCACGCTTGGCAACATCGTCCAAAACTGCCATGTGACTCTCAGACTGCTGAGTCTGAAGTCCCGCAATCAGCGAGGTGTTATGCAACCTAAAACCCGTGTGCCTTTTCCCAAAAGGACTGAAACAAGAAGTGAGGTAAAACCAGAAACTGACAAATTCCGTGCAAAATCAAATCCATTCAAGCAGAAATGCAAAATACAAGCAACTGAAACCAAACACTCGCAGCTGAAACTGAAACTGGCTCTGAATGGCCTTGCGGCCCTGCGCCTGTCGCTTGAGCATTCCATGCAAGCGTGGCACTGATACTGACTCTGAATGTGCTGGTTCAAACTAAAATGACTGACGTTTCTGAAACTCAAAAGATCAGCACCATTTCAAGAAGAAACTGTGCGCTCTCCTACCTGCAAACTGTGTCGGATGCCCCATGGTTCAAACTGCCTGACCTGTGCCTAAGGAGCCTCAAAGAAAACTTAGAAATCAAATTACAAAAGTTAAGCACAAATCCGAATTGTTCCCAGACCCCCGTCGTCCTACGTTGCATTTTTGTCCAAGGCCTGGCAACCACTCAATGTCTTAGGGGTCTTGATGTTCTTCTTCGTCACACTTTCCTGCATCCGTTGAAGATGAATCAGCATCTGACTCACTGTCCTCGTCGAGGTCCTCCTGGCCCTCGCTCTGCTGTATGCGCCGTTTGCAATGGAGGCAAACTGCGTCGAAAGCCCCCAGCGCCACGTCCGTCACGGGTTCCATCTCTTGACACCTCCATGATTGCACCGGGCAGGCTCCTGTCAAATGCAAGCGTCTGAATCCGTTTCGCCTGGAAATCGTCACAAAGTATGTGGGGCCTTCCTTTGAATCAGGATGGGCCGCTCCAGACATCGTCCCGGATTCAGCTTCCAAATTCCGTTGGTGGCGATCCTCATTCTCAACTTCCGCATCAGTGTCTTCCGCAATGGTGAAGCGAGGGTCCAACCTGTCAATTGGCAAGATGCGATGTCGCCTGACCAACCGGTATCCGATCAAACCCTGTCGGTCAGCGAAGTCCTTGATGTCTTCAAGGAGCTCTTGTTCATCATATCCACCAGCGCCGACCTGTTTGTAGAGTGCTTCCAAGATCTCTCTCTGAATTGCCTCCACTACCTGTCTGGAAGTGTGGAGATATGCATTGCTCCCTACTCGTCCGATTGCCCAGCGACCCAAATAGTCACGCTTCTCTTTGTCGACGCCAATCGCAGCTGCAGTTTGCGTGGCAAAATGCCTCGCACTGTGTCCCGTCCAGAAAAGGTTCAATGTCTGGGGCACCAAAAGCAGCTGTTCACTGAGCGTCCATCGTCCCTCCGCAAAACGTGGGGTGCAGAGGCGCGACAAGACCATCCTGAAATAGTTCGCCAACCCTGGAGGTGCCACAATCTTGGGTATGAAGCCTGAAAAATCTTTGGGCGGTCCCGGAGTCAAATAATCTCGGGGATACTTCATGTCATCCCGCTGCATCGACAGCATGCCAACCACCATCCAGTCTTCTCCGGTAATGGAGACCTCTCTGCAAACAAAACCATGCACAGCACCATGATTTTTTCCTGGTCCAGTGGTTTTCGTTCTCGCCAACTTGAAGCTCAGTCCTCTGTTACTCAAACGCAAGGACTCCGGCTGAATGCTTTGTATGTCATCAACACGCAGTGAAGTCCAACCAGCCAGCAACATGAGCCACCCTACAAACCTAAAGTAATGGTCGGTCCCTTCATTGACAACCAAGAGCTCCAGTGATGTCATGATGGCCACGGCGTATGGCCTTGCAGGTCCCCTCTCCTTTCCCCTTCCACCCAAAGCCACCTTCCAGCTTTTCAAGTGTTCCTGCAAGAAGGGATCTCCTGCAATGCGCCTGGAAGGGCACTTTCCCAACCTGCTCCAACAAGGACAAAGCAGCCAGGAGCTCGTTGGGGTAGCTCACAGGACACCCATAGTCAATCAACTCTTCTATGAAGTTCACCACTTGCGTAGCGTCCTTTGGCCACACAACCCCATATGTTGCATTGAGCCAGGAGCGAAACTTGTTCCAGGCCCTAAAGCGGTTCCGCAAGGTTTTTGCCCTACGGCTTCCCCAGACTCTCAACCAAGCAATCTCCGGTTTGTCCAGAGCAACGATCTGCAGGGCAACCGGCAAACATGACTCCTCAATGATGCTAGCAAACTCCAACGCATACCTTCTGCGATCCCTGTTTTCCTTCTCTGCGCGGCTGCCAAGTCCTCCAAGATCTTTGGTTCCCTTTTGTGCGCGCCGAGCTGCTTCAAGGAAAGCCTTGGGGTCGTTGTGCACAATCTCCTCAAATTCCAGTGTGGGCTTCGATGGGGCCGGTTTGCCCGGCAACAACAGAGTTCCAGCAATCCTTTCCAGATGCAAACGACGTCTGCGCTTCATGCTAGGTCCAGCTGAAATCCTCCACTGCAGCAAGTTCTCAACAGCTGATTCCAGAAATGCATCAGAAATCGAATCAGAATCAGAGCACAAAAGTTTGACCAGTGAACGCGCTTCTTCTGCAGTGTCAAACGCCTCGTAGAAATGTCTGACCTCCCCAAACGTCTTTGCAACCAGCCTCAAGCTATTTGCACCAAGAAAAGCCAGATCATCCATTGCTGAGACTTCCTCATTCATACTCCAGGAAGAATCCTGCTCAGCAATCAAAAGCACGTGTTTGTCTCCAAAGTGTTGCCCAGCAAATTGGGTAAGATAGTCATCCCACCGTTGTGCTGGTCGTCCTCATTTGCGATCTAGTTTGGTGTCAAAATTTTGGCCCCGATCTGGGCGAGGATGCCATAATACAGTTCTGGCTGGCCAAGCTGGCATATTTTGTGCCACATAAATTGCAAATTTAAGGTGGCGAAAAAAAAAAAACTGACCACTTACGAACCAGACGCAACGCCATCGCAATTCAAACCTACCGTTCATTTTTCGCATGGTATCTTGCCATTGCTCGTTGTGGGTACGAACCCATCCAACAATGGAGCGTAGCATCCTTCGCTGCATTACATCCAATTTGTCTATTTGCACTTTTGTCAACGGTAGAATTGCAAGGCCAAACATTGCCGTGGGGGACACCACCGAATCGAAACGTTTCAATTTCAATTTCAGGGACACCTGCTTGTTTAAAATGATGCGTTTGTACGTCAAAAACTTCGCCCACACAGTGTGAAGTCAATGATCAAATTCCACATGTGTTCCCAACCCGTTAAATTGTTTCCCAAAAATCTTTATTGGCCTGTGTCAAAAGGTCAATGAATTCTTGCAGACAAACATTGGTCAAAATTTGTGTTTTTGAAACGTTCACAATTCCACGTCCACAAGTTCGTCCATACATTTCGCATGGATCATGATGTCATCAGCGTGCCTAACATTTGTCAATTTTTGAACGGCACCAATTTGAAACCCATTGGTTTTCGATGTTCGTTTCCATTGCCGTAGTGCGTGTTCCAGGTTTGCGTTGAAAAAAAGTAGGCTGATCACATCACTTTTTCGGGCACCACGTGCAATGTCAAAAATTTCCCGGCCGGAAATGCATCCTTGTTGGTTCCGGTACCAATTCCACAACAGAGCGCAATGAGATGTTGGCACATGTTGTTGTCGCAATGCTCCCAAATGGGATTTGGATGCGGTCAAACGCCTTCTTCAAATCAAGGCTTGCAAACTCAACGGGGCAATTCCACTCCTTCGTTTTGCGACAGGCGCTCCCGAGAATACCCATGTGTGGTGTGAAACCTGTACTGCAGCGTCGAACTGGTTGGGATCAACAAATTCCACCAAAATGGCCGTCTCTCTTTTGTTACTCCTTGCTCGAATGTACCTTCTGATGTGTGATCGAATCTGTTGTGACAAATTTGTTCGCTCGGAACGGCATTTTGCGGCGTGACATTCTTCCAACATTTTTTGGAAGGAAGCACGTTTCCCGGGGGAAAATCTCAGTTTCAATTTTTTTCCGTGCTTTGTGAGCCGGTCATGTTTTCAACAGTTTCAAGGACTCACTCACTTTTGCAAATCTAACACCGTCACAGGGCTATGGTTGCACACGTTGATAGCTTTCTGCAAATCCATCGTCCGATTTTTTCAGGTTCCAACCCTTGTTTTTTTTGAATCGTTGTTTTGTATCCCGCTTTTGCGCGTCAGCAGTCACAACACGATGGTCCGAACACGTGTCGATGCAATCAGTGGCACATGCCGATGACAATGGCTAACAAGCACTAAACAACAAAAAATCAATTCGCCGTACGCACACAGACCTCTCAAATGTCCATGCGTCCATTTGAACATCATGATTGTTATCACCATTGCCGATCTGCAGCTCGAAAGCGCCCACCAAATCGTTTAAGAAACTTCCCCCAAAACAAACATGCATTTGTGTATGGAAATCATCCCCGACGTCAGCACCGAATTGAAACCTCTGATTTTTTTCCATGCAGCCATGCAGCAAATCGTAACATTTTTCCACTGCTGCACGTGAATATCGAGCATGCGGTGCATATGCTCAAATAAATCCGACCGTTCCTCTCCTTACCAATTGTTTTCCAAAGCATAATCAGCTGCCAACACGCTCCAGTTTTACAATATCACGCGTATGCCGAAACTGTATGAAAACAACCGCTCCAGCGGCCATAGTGGGTCATTAGTTGTGCACAACCAGTGCCCCGCTTCGAGAGTCACTTTGCCTTCCACACTACGCATCTCTGAGAGCAGTATGACATCCCATTCTGTACAACATTTTTTTCCGCGCAATCCTTCCTAACGATTGTTGAACCCAGCATTTTTGGTGAAAACTGTGAAAGTACACGCCGCAACATCCCTAATTTTTTCATGCGAAATGTCAGTGCCCGGTTTATTCATATTCGCATCCAAGGTGGAAAAATTTGTGTTTGCGAACAGGCATGGTAAAACTTGACCTGGGCGGCGCTGGCCCCTGAGAGGCAATTGCCGGTTTTTTGCCTTTGTTTTTGCCTGCGCCTTTACCCATGTGACTCAATTTTTTTGCTGCCCGCTTTCCCAATTGCTGCACTTCAGGGTTTGCTGACCATGTGTCACTCCAAAAATGCTGTAACGAACGATTCTCGGTTATTTGTGGTTATTTGTGGTTCCGTTCACTGCTCTATTCACGAGGAAATTTTGGATCGCCGTTGCTCGCGGGTGATTGCTCCGGATTATGCTACGCCCCCTTGAAACATGTTGGTAAGGTTTGTACAGAGCGACACAAACATATTGTTACAAAAATTTTGTCACAAAGTCAAAAGATGTTGTCGCGTCATATTTTTTTAGCGCTAAATGTCCAAGATTTGTTTTCATTTCGATTTTGCACGGATGCGATCCCAATTAATGTCAGGCAAGAACGCGTTGTCTAGCACAGTGGTGGCTAGTCGCCAACATTTAAAACCAAGCAGGCCTGTAAGTACACATGGTTGTTGGGAGAACGCTTCTCATAGCCGATGACCTTGTCGGAAAATTTTATCGTTTTCTGTTTTTGATGTTGTCGCCGCACTTATTCATTGTTCTATCGCCCGCCATTGTTTTCGTAATTTATTTCGCCATAAAAAAAACGTCTGCCTATTGGCACGCATGATCAGTTTCAGCCTGGCACCCGTGATTCCTTGATGCTGAAAGCATCCCCCAACAAATTTCAGGAAAATGTTGTGGCCCTAACTCTTTACGTTACAAGGTGTTCACAAGCTTAGGGCTGCAGTGGTCCATGGACCGTCGGCTTGGCGGCGGTGCATGCGCTGAAAGACCTACTACTATAGAATGAGGTTGCTGGGCTCCATTTTTTCCCAGAATGGCCTTAGCTACACAATGCCCCTTCGTTGCAACAACCTTGACATAGAGGATTTTGTTGTTATAAAACGCCCCTTCGTTTTCAACAACCGCACATACACGGACATACCCTTCTCTACAAAATTCCAATGTCGTCATCAAAGCTGCACATGCCAAGGAACCTGTTTGCTACAAACTGCCCCGTTGCTTTCAACAAGACTTGCATCCACCAATATCCATCAAGCATCATCTTTCATGATTCACCCGGGATCAATACAAATCACGCATCATCATGCAACATTGTCCTTTTGATTTTTTTTAAGCCGCCCAGGCCCGATCCCACAGGTTGTTTCCTTACAAAATGCCCCTGTTGTTTTTCAATGCCAAGGTTCGGACCATATGTTTTGCTACAAAACGCCCATTTGATTTTGATTGGCTCTGATGAACTCATCATGTCATGGTACAAAAAACCATTGCGATTTTCCATAACAAGTTCACACGTTTTTTTTCGGATGAAATTCACAAATTTACAGTAAGCTACAAAATCTGAGCCCGGATTTCATGTCACAGTTAGCCTGACTAAAATGTAAAACCCTGTAAGCGGCACAACGCCACAAAATTTGCAGCTCCCGCCTTCACAAAATATATTCTCACTGTGTCGAAAAAACATATCATCGGCACGCAATTGCCTCCATTGGTTTCATGCACACACGGTGGTTCCACAGCGCGTCGAAACCACAAATTGTATCATAAAAAAAAAAAACTACGGCCCGCAGTTTGCAGATCTACGGCACGTGGAACCGTCCAGCGAACAATGGCGGATTCATGATACAGTTTCGGGTGCGTGTCGTCAGTGCTCAGGTGTCTTCTTCGGTGTCTTGCCGCTCCCCTCACCCTCACTGTCAACCCATATTTTCTCAATGATTTTGTAGTTGTTTTTGGTTTTTGTGTCAAGCCGATGGTGACGTGGTTACGGTCCTCCGTGCCTCTGCTCGTTTTTTTCCTTTTTTTTGTTGAAAATATATATTGCAACAACTGGAACTGACATCCGGAAAGGGCGCCCGATGGCCGTATGTATTTTTTTTTTTTGCATCAAGCAATTGGAACGCATGTGGCTGGCAAAGGCTTGGCATGGAACCATGTGGCACGTCAAACATGTTGAAAATCCGTGAGCCTGGGGTGGGCAATGAACAAATCAAAACGGCAACGTTATAAAATTATATAAAATTTACATGAGGACCCGTGTTGTGCGTCAATGTTTTTCGTTTCAAACATGTTCACTGTTTCATGTTGTTGCAAGTAAGTAACACAAAGCGGAGGAAATCGAACACAAAAACAAACACGTTTTGCTTTTGGAAAATTATTGGTTCCAGGTGCGTAAACCCACGCAGTTGAGGCCAAAAAGGGAACCCCAGTTCCAGTTGAATCCGTGTCCGGTTTTGGCGATTGCAAAGTGTGAAATGGTTCCATGTTTGGACACCCCCGTTTCTTTGGCAAATTTGTTTTGGTTTTCCGTGCGGTTTTGAACAAGACCTGGTTCCCAAGGTTCAATGTTGATAAAATGCTGAAAAGTACAATCATTGATTTTTCTCTGAAACCATTCAATTTCCTTTTTTTGTGGACGAATAGAAAAATGAATGCCCCACACTGCAATGGGTTTCGGGGTACCGCCGCAATGTTTATGGGGCATACTGTTTGGGTGCACACAAATATATATGTCTTCGGAGGAGCGCCTTTTAATTTCATTTTTGAATCTGTGACACCTTTCCGGCGCAGACGTGTGACATTGATTTCAACGCAAATAAACAGAGCAACCCGCCGCACAGTCACAATGAATACAAATT